GATTTTCTTTTTGGAAAATTCCAATATAATCTTTAAAAGCATTAAATCGTTACATTATAGTAACAAAATCAAGACGGCTAAGAATAAAATTAAAATGACGTGCAGTATAATTAACAGCGAAACCGCTAAAGAGAAAACCCTTGAACTCAAACTATCAATTAAAAATTAATAATGAATTGACTAAATCAAATCAGGAAGTTGTAGCGGCGTTTGAGAAATATTTCACTGATGTTCCTATCTTGACAACAGAGTCATCGAATACTTCTCCAACTGTCGCCGAGTCATTTCTTAAACAGAATGTTAATACCTGTTTAAAAGAATTTAGATTTAAAAAAGTATTACCGCATAATATTGTAAAATACTTCAAAATTATTGATGTAAAGAAAACCGCAGATTTGTGGGGGATTTCCGTTACAGTTATTGCGTCCATAGTAGATTTAATAGCACCTCATCTTGCTCTTACTTTTAATACTTGTATCGATTCTGGTGTGTTTCCTGCTATAGTAAAGTGATATAGTATAATAAAGGTATTACCTTTATTTAAATCTGGTAGTACATTGGACCCCGCTAATTATAGACCTATTTCTGTACTACCAACACCCAGTAAAATTTTTGAAAAATAATTTTAGATCTAAATTATTATTTTTAGGGTTCCGTACCTCAAAATTAAAAAACGGAACCCTTATAGGATTACTTTGTTGTCCGTCTGTCTGTCTGTCTATCAAGACCTTTTTTCTCAGAACGCGTGGAGGTATCAAGCTGAAATTCATATCAAATACTCAAGTTTACTGTCCCTTAGAGCTGTGATAAAATCAAACTTCTAAGCTAACGTAATCAAAAGATACAGCCGTTTATGCCGTAAATTTTCGACATTAGCAAGGGAATCAAAAACTACAGGGTACTTCCCGTGAACTCAGAATCTTGAAATTTGGTACGAAGCAACGTTTTATAGCACAGATAAAGGAAAAGTTGCGATAAGCATAAATTTTTAGTTACATCATATAATAAAAATATTTTTAATAATTTTAAACTTATATACCTACAGATTTGTTCGGAACCCTCGGTGCGCGAGTCCGACTCGAACTTTGCCAATTTTTCTTTGTTTTTACAGTGAGTCGCTCGACGTCTGACGCCAATATTGAGCTTATGAAATATATTTTTAATGCCTGGGAGAATTCACAAGATGCCTTAGGTATTTTCTGTGACCTTTCCAAGGCTTTCGATTGTGTTCATCATGAGACATTAATCAGGAAACTACAACATTACGGTGTAAAAAATTTGGCGCTTAGACTTATACTTCATATTTAAGTAACAGAACTCAAAAAGTCGTGATCAATGGTAAAGGCTCCTCCGGATCGGTAATATCAATGGGCGTTCCTCAGAGCTCGATAGGCCAAGCATTCCTGTTCTTAATCTACGAGTATATTAGTGACTTACCTTATCTTGTAGAGGACAATCGCGATATAGTATTATTTGCTGACGATACCTCTTTAATTTTCAAACTCCAACGGCAGTTAATTAATTATGACGATGTAAATAATGCTCTATCGAAATTAGTACATTGGTTTAACGCCAACAATTTGCTCTTAAACGGCAATAAGACAAAATGTATTAAATTTACAATACCTAATGTAAAAAAATCGAAAACCAATGTGCTAAGAGCTAATAATAATAATGGGGAGGATTTGAGCCTTGTGGATACCACTGTTTTTCTTGGTATTACTATTGATGCGAAACTTCAATGGGGCCCGCATAGATCTAAATTAGCAAACAGACTTAGTTCTGCAGTTTTATTAAAGAAAAATAATACATAAAGGGTTATTATAATATCCAGGAATACATGAATGAAAATAACCCCTGGGAATAAGGTGATCGCAACCATGCTGGTTTTATGCAAAAACATTTAAAATTGTACAAACAAAATTATTGTTAAGTGAAATTATGTTTAAAAAAAAGTCCCGCTGAGTTTCTTGCTGGTTCTTCCCAGGACAGAGGTATTTTCCAAATCAGTGGTAAATAAAAATTACTTTCAATAAGTATTATGTAATAATCAATATTGAATAAAAATCATTCTATTCTATTCTATTCTATAATATATGTATTGCAAATATGAGTAATTTTGGTTCATATATTTCTACTACATTTTTTATTAATAGTTTGACTACAGCGCAACATCTCAAATAGTCCTCTATAGTCCTCGTATGACTCGTTAGCCATAACGAGTCATACGAGGATGGCTAGCTATGCTAGGAGCATCGTCTAGACAAAACAAGTCAGAACTTACACGATTACTAACAGACGCACCAACGATTATAGTTAATATAGTTTTAAAATTAATTCTTACAGTGCACAGTAATCGCGATCGCTTTTGGTATAGTCGCCAATTCTAATATTGCCTACCCACAAATTCTGCTGCATTAAATCTCTGGGTCTAAACCTAAATACATTGCCGATAATATATAAAGAGGGCATAAGTGCTCGACTAAAATTAATATAAAGATTAATATAAAATTAATAGAAATCTGATTTGTATTCGAATCGGAATTGATAGTTGTAGTTTTAACTGCTGATTTATATTTTATGTGGTCAGAGGTGAACGAAAATATTCTGATATACCTAAGTCTGTGAATTTAATTAATATTTAGAGAACGTAAAGTCGTTGAACTCTATTTTCCTTCAAATTCATTCAGTGATTAGATATATCTGTGCCACGAGTCGACTTTTTAATGGTAATTAATAACTTAATCATTGGATATCATTTAAAAAAAGTTATAGCCTAACGTGTTCTTTCATTTTGCGTATTAAAATAGATTTCATTATAGTTTACTAGCTTTTGTTCGCGACTTCGTCCGCGTAGATATTATAGTCTTAAATCAAATAAACTTCAGAGATTTTGCAACGCACGCCAATATAATTCACAGATGACAGATTTTTCCGACTTACTTATCGTTATATTTTGACAAATTTACGTAATATCTTTATTAATTACACGCGTACAAGAATAAGAAACATCCATACATCCATACATCCTCACAAACTTTCACGTTTATAATATTAGTAGGATTTTATTATTTAAGATGAATTAACCTTCAATATTAACAATCAGGAGCCATATCCTCACCTAATGATGAGTGGCGGTTTAAAAATATTTACTCCTCATATCGTGGATATTCTTACACCGTCTTGAGGATGTCGTAAGAGATGACAGAGGGAAACTGATGACTGCCGCTTACCATCAGGTGAATTGTAAGTTCGTTCATGAAATCATTTAAATTTAATTAAAAAAACGAAATCACAGACAAATAATTTTCTGGGGGCACGGCAGTGCCAAGTCGAGCAAAAAAGCGGCACGGCCGTATCATCCCTTTATCGAAGTAGTTCAGGCCATTTTCGAATCCCTATAACTTCGTTGTGGATAAAACTGGAAGCCTGAAATTTTACTAACCAAGTAGGCATTGTATAAACTCGGTATATTTCAAATTTCATTAAATTTGAACCAGTAGTTTAAGAATTATAACTAGTCAAAATCTGGGGGCACGGCAGTGCCCCCGCCAAGTCGAGCAAAAAAGCGGCACGGCCGTACCATCCTTTTCTCGAAGCAGTTTAGGCCATTTTCGAAACCCTATAACTTCGTTGTGGATAAAACTAGAAACCTGAATTTTCAGTAACTAAGTAAACATTGTATAATCTCAATATTTCTTAATTTTGTCACTCACTGACTGACCGATCATCAAAACTCTAAGGCACTTCTAGCAGACATAGAAGCTTCAAATTTGGAATAAAATTATTGTTTCATATATAAGTCAAGGAAAAATTAAAATATTTTGCAATTTCGGTACAGTTTTCGAGATACACTAACTGCATAAATAACTTTGTAATGCCATATAAATATATAGGATTACAAAGTTACATTTACAGTGAATGAATCAGTGTACCTATACATGTATAATATAATGGGATAATAGGTGTAGATAGGTAGGTACCTATCTACACCTATTCGTTTTATCTATTAGTTATATCTAGGTACATATAACTATCTACAAAAAGAATTGAGATGCCATCAAAAACATACCTTGTAAAAAAGCCAAGTCTCGCAACTCAGTTCTTCTACCGTAAAAAGTTGTGAGATCCATGTAATACCAAGTCGGTTAATTTATTCAGTCCCTACTTAAGGGTCCTTTTGTCTTAAATTATTACGTAATTAGCTAACCTTACAAAATCTTATAGTGACCATATCAATATCAAAAATCTTTTATGTTTTAAATAAATAAATTGACTTGGCAATCGCACTAAACAATCTAATTTAATTTAATATGTATTACTTGAGAGACACATTGTGTTTTCATGCGATGGCCAAGTCAATCTATTTATTTAAAATATAAAAGATTTTTGATATTGATATGGTCACTATAAGATTTTGTTAGGTTAGCTAATTACGTAATAATTTAAGACAGAAGGACCCTTAAGTAGGGACTGAATAAATTAATCGACTTGGTATTACATGGATCTCACAAATTTTTACGGTAGAAGAACTGAGTTGCGAGACTTGGCTTTTTTTACAATTTATGTTTTTGATGGAATGACTTTGTCAGTTTGACTTACACGTACACCGACGGCCTCCTCAAATTTCTGAAAGTGTCCTTTAGTTCGCACAAAGTAAAGTTACAGCCTAGTATTATTTTATATGTCACTGCAGATCACAGGCCTCCTTCCTAATGGGGACAAACTTCTCCATAACGGGGAAAAGTTAGTCCTGTTACTTTGTTGCACTGTATTTTGGTGAACTTCACATGTCTGTTAAATGTTTTTATTTCTAATGACTTCCTTAACCAGAGCACGTGGTAATCCAGCACTTAAAATTGCAATTTAAAATTTATTTCGTGCCGGCGAGCATCAAACCAAATTTTTTTTTAATGAAATTGACGACGAGCGCCGTAAGAGCTACTGCGGCTTCATGGAAAAGTTCATGTATCACTAATATTCTTTATTATTACAGAAAAATGGTACCTACACCTCAAGAGCTAGCTGTAACTCAGCACGAAAGGGAGGAATACCTCAAATCCGGAGAAAGAATTGTTATTTCCGGAATGTCAGGTCTCTTTCCTGATTCCAACCATATAAAGGATTTTGCTGACATTTTATATAACAAGGTAAGTTAGTATATAATACAAGGTGCCTAAAAATAGTATTTCCCTCAATATTGCTTTATTTTTTAGGATTAGGTCCGTACCTAAAGCGTAACCAACGGGACCCTATTACTAAGCCTCCGCTGTCTGTCCGCCTGTCCGTCCGTCCGCCTGTCCGTCCGTCCGCCTGTCCATTGGTCCGTCCGTTAGTCCATCTGTCTGGCAGCGGGCTGTATCTCATGATCCGTAATAGGTAGACAGTTAAAATTTTCACACAATGTGTATTAATTTCCGTTGCCACTATAACAACAAATAATAAAAATAAATTTGAAATTAAAGGGGGCTCCCCTACTAGAACTCTTCATGAGCGAGTCCAAATCGTACTGGGCCGCCTTTTTTATACTATTTAGTATTCATCTTTGCTGTGTGTTCAATAAAAAATAATGCATTGTAAGTGTAAGCTTGGTTTTTGCGTCACTTCAAATGTGCGTATCGCTCCGTCTTTCATTCTTTGTCAGTCTGAAACATTATAATATATTTTTTTATACTTATCCTTACCCTTAGCAAGTGCGGTGTGCAGATTATCTCCATTTAAAGAACTTGCAATGCTAGTGTTCGGTATATTGTAGCCAATTTCAAAAAGGAGAAAGTTCTCAATTCGTCTGTATGTTTTTTTGGATATATTGTATACGCGATATCTTCGTCAATAGTAAACCGATTTTGATAATTCCTTTTTTATTAAATAGTTCTGCTTAGGGGACGGCCCAAAACAAATAAATAAAAAACCACTTTTAAGTGTGGCAAAATAGGGAATAAAGTTTTTAATGTAACTATTTAGCGGCATTGAAATTGCCATATTCCTTAGTCCACTCAAAGAGTAAAATAAATAACTTTTAATTTTTTTATGTAGTTTGTCGTTGAAAAACGAGCACACGGTTCACCACATGGTAAGTGGATACTGAGGCCCATTGACATCTAAATCTATCCTCAGTTAATAATCATAATGCGTGTTCACCCCCGAAGACTAGGATGGAATGCCTTATTTCCATTAAAAAGGGTCTCCGGTTCTCTACATTCACCATACAGCAGCAGTATTAAGCTCAGGAAGCAGATTTATGAGGCGCCATTTTTGAAATTATAGTCGTAAAAATTAGCTGTTATTGAATATTTTCCATTAAAAAAATCAATCCTGAAGTTAGAGGTACGATATAGTTTTTAAAAGAATTAAAACACAGACTACAAGACTTTTACTTAATTTGTTCTTGCTAGTTCTTTGAATCCGGCTTTTACTTTTTTTTACGTACAGTTTTATAGTGCTGTGTTTCGCATTCGAGCACGGGAGACCCTTTTTAATGGGAACGAGGCATTCCATCTTGGTCCGTGGATTGATGTAGATTTCCATCGGCCGCAGTAGCGACTAAAAATAAAATAAGGAAACGTTATAAGATTTTGCGTGACATTTTGCAGAAACCATGCAGTATAAATAACTCGTAGCGATTATCAAAAAAAAAAAGGCATTTAAGGAATTGTTATACGCCGATTACTGTAGGTTATTCATTCAAACTATTAATAATAATTTGTATTTTGTATTTAATAATTTAGTAATATGAAACTAAACTCGATTCTCAATTGTTTCTTTAGATATTTTAAATGTTGATAATATATCGAACTATAATTGTTGCTTTAAGTTTGCGCGACAGATATTTTAAAATATCTCTCGATTTTGTCCAGAAAAATCCTGTCTCATCGAATCCACGGTGGAACTATAATCACCCTGAGGTCGCGCAATATGCTGGCCGAATACCAGATTTGGAAAAGTTTGATGCCCAGTTCTTCAAGGTTCACTATCGTCTGGGACACACAATGGACCCGATGGCTCGCAAGGTTCTTGAACAAGCATACCAAGCGATATACGATGCGGGTATGTTAACTGCCATTTTTAAACGGTGGGGACTATACGCATTAAACAAAATAAATTATTAGTCTTACAGAATTACACCGTCAATTCGTATGCATATTGAAAAAAGATATGTAAGATGCTAAATGATTTATCTGCTTTGCAGTCAACTAGCAGCGGATTTAAGCTAAGGCGCATGAAATTGTTATTTTAATAATAGGATTATTTTTTTTTAATAAAAACTGCTAACAAAAAGAATGTCTTATTGCATTGGTTATAAGGCGCTATTTATTTTAAATTCGCTTCTGGTCTACGCGAAGTCTAGTGCGTGTATTATCAACAATAATTTAGTACATTAATATTAGTATCGCCTTATTAGTTTGAGTTTGCGACAACAGTATAGTGCAGGTTGCAGCATTACGTTATCATTTTTTTGCTTTTTGTCGCTTAGCAAGGACAATGTTCTCCAGACTGAATTTCGGTCACGGCGGCCCCTTCCAACGTAGGCCAGCTATCTGCGCAGGAAAGGATCTGCTGCCCAAGTGTATGCGCAAGTACAGGTTCACTCTCTATTCCCTCACTCTCATAGTCCGATAGGATGGTAATCCGACACGACCGGATAGAGATCAGACTATTAGACCATTAGACCAAAGATAAAGTTGGCCGCTAGACTAAGAACAAAGGATTCAACAACAAAAAAATAACAGTAATTTATGTTAAGGAAAAAAGAAGCATAGAAAAATAATCAGATTTGTCAAAATCGAATTTAACCATACACTACATGAGTTAACAGTGTACTAAACATGCTATCAACTTTTGTTTAGGTGTGAACCCGGAACATTTCTCAGGAAAGAAAGTTGGAGTGTACATAGGCACTTGTTTTTCTGAAACTGAGAAGACTTGCTTCTACATGGTAGGCGCTACACATGGGCTCGGTATTGCTGGGTGAGCTTAGTTATTTTTAAATTTATTACATAATATATTGCTTTGAATATTCCACCATATTACTCTGAGCAGCCTTTATAGAAAGTCTGAGATATAGGCATAATCTTACTTTTTAACATTTCCTATATATCGTCTGTTATGATTATGACACATATATCTATTATATTCTATTCTATTCTATAAAATAAACTATTTAAGTTCATAAACAAGTGTTGGACATCAATTGAGCTTTATATATAGAGATCATATATATATAAAGATCAATTGATGTCCATTAGTTTCGCAAAAACTTGAACACAGCTAAACTGATTTTGCTGAAATTATTGTGTGTTTTTGAGTGGGTCTCTGGATAGTTTAGATTCACAATCGCACCCGGTAGGTGGCGCTGTTGATGAGATCGAGAAATCACACGAGCGGATTGCTAGTATTTAATATTTTCCCACTTCCACTATCCAACTATATTGACAACTTTTGAGGAATCGGAAGCAATCAACTGTGCAATGGGAAATATGCTTGTACTACCACACACCGTATTAACAAATGGAATGGAATAATTTGTCAACATCTCTATTTCCATCCGATTACAACGTAGGTGTCATCCAGCCAAGAGTAAAGAAGCTTTTGTTTTGCTAAGTGCGCGCACTTTACCATCTTCAAATACATGCCTAGAAAGAAAATGCGCTCTCAGGATACCAGCGTGAAATTGCTGTTTAATGCCGCTACGTTTTTTATGATGAATTTAGAGAACCGGAGATGTTTTTTACTGTAGTGGCGATCCTGGGTGTAATAAAAGACGACAGAGGGAAACAAAGCGGGAGATGGGCAACAACTTTTTCCTAATAATAACTGAAAAATAAAGTATGCGGTTGCCAACCTGCCTGCCAAGCGTGAGAATGGCAAATATCACCCCAGGCGATCTATATTTCATTTAACAGGCTGAAATTGTAAGAAAAATTAGGGGCACGTTATCGATACAGTATCAGAAACACACATCAATCACATCTCAATCAAATGTTGACTTCGACCGAGCGGTTCAAACTAGACCCAATTGCTTATTCTATTAAAATAAGGAATGTACATAATGATTTCAGATGCAATAAATCAATGTTCGCAAATCGCATATCCTACTGGCTGAATGTCAAGGGGCCATCGATGTCTATCGACTCGTCCTGCTGCAGCTCTATTGCGGCTCTGGAACAAGCTTACCTCGCGATGACCCGTGGGGAGTGTGAGGCAGCTATTGTTGGCGGTGGAAATATTTGTTTGCATCCTCAGTCATCGGTGCATTATGGAAGGTTATTTTAATTTAATTAACTTAAAAAAATCAACGAAATTATCATCATCGCTACCCTCTACTATATGTAGTTTGCAGTAATAAACAAGACAGCGACAGTATCAGAGACCTTACGAGACGTGACGGTTACGCGAGATAAAAAATGGGTAAAGTTTGATTTTACTTTTTCATGGAGAAATGCCTGCCCAAACTTGCTTCACAGGGCCAAGGATTGGTTGTTTCGAATCCGTACCGAATAAAACATTGTGGTGTTCCATATTTACCGCATAAAGTCTAGGCCACGAAAACACTTTTGCACATATTCGCGGCCCCATTAGCGTCAGTCACGTATTGGTGGCACTTTTTGGAAGGGAACAACGCTTTTCTATGATCTCCTATAGCACAAACGTGCCGGCAAGGCACGCCTTCCTATACGGTCTTTACCCCATTTGCATAGCGGACCTTCTTGAGTCCGATACATGGACACCATGGGGTCAGGGACAATCTCCGCCCCGAAGTGAGTGTCACGGAGTGTAGAGCGAGTGACTGGCTATACCACACTACTCTTTCACAATATTCCTTTCTACTCAGGATACCGCAACAAATGTATTCCACCAATATATATTCACCGTCCTCTATAATATCTCGGTGCGCAAAGCACTGCTCTCCCTGGACATCAACAAGTCGAGTGGGCCTGATGGAGTCCCTCCTATTGTGCTGAAGACATATGCTCCGGAGTTGACACCGGTTTTAAGACGTCTTTACCGGTACTTCTACTCCTTTGGCGTAGTCCTAAATTAATAGAAAACAGCTTTGGTCCACCAGAACCATAGAACAGGCGACCGCTTCCGGAGATCGGTCTAACTATAGGCCAATCGCCATCACCTCCTTATAAAATAATGGAATTCGTTATAAACTGATTGCTCATGAGGTACCTTGACGATGACCAGCTGATTAGTGACCACAAATATACGGTTTTTGTCGAGGTCGATTAGCTGGTGATCTTGTGGTCTATGTGACTCATAGATGGGCTACAAGCAGTATAATCCAAGGACTATATTTTTGCCATTAGTTTGGACATAGCGAAGGCCTTTGATTGGATTTGGCACAAAGCGCTTCTTTTGGAGCTTCCTTCCCATGAGCTTCCCGAGAAATTGTGCAATTGAATAACCAGTTTGATTGCAGATCGGAGAATCAAGGTCGTAGTAGATGATGCATGCTCTAATTACAAGCCTTTTAACGCTGGTGTTCTACAAGACTATCACTAACGCTGTTTCTTCTGCATATCAATGATGTGTTACAAACCAGTAACAGTATAACCAGTAACATTCATTGCTATGCTGACGACATCATTGTTGATGCTTTATACATCGGCCGTGCCAATATTTCTCGGGAAAACGTCGCCGAATACCGGAAAAAAATGTGTCTGAAGTCGAAACTTTGTTGAATAAAGTCTCATATTGGACGCGACTATATCTAGTCCAGTTCAATCCCTGGAAGATACAAGTTTGCACGTTAACTGCTACAAATAACCAATTCGGCGTATATCCTCATTTTCAGGGCACTTGTTGCCTTAGCTGGGATCGGTATCCTCGGAACGAAAAACATGGCGTTCTCAGTAGACATGCCGGCACATCGCCTACAACTTTACGAGACGCCGGATCGTCCTCACATGGAATACTAATCCCATCTCTGGGTCGGGGCTCTCCAGTGCCACCTCCTTACATTTGATCGCATCCAGGGCAGAGTAGTTCAAATCGTTGGCAACCAAACTCTTTCTGATCGGCTTGATTTACTGGCACTGGGAAGCGATGTTGAATCATTTTGCATTATTTTCGCATATACCACAGGGAGTGCTCTGAGAAATTTTTGGACTGATTCCAGCTGCTGAATTTCACCATCGTGTATCGCGATAAAACTACCATTCATACCATCTGGATGTTTGGCGGTCTACCACTGTGCGATTTACAAGAAATTTTCTTGCTCGCACAACTTTCTTGTGGAATCGTCTACCACCAGCAATTTTTCCGAGCCTATACGACTAAAAGACCTTCAAGAAATAAGTCTACTCTTGTTTTAAAGGCCGGCAACGCACCTGCGATTCCCTTTGTGTTACAGTTGTTCATGGGTGGTGGTCGACATTTACCATCATGTGAGCCGCGTGTTCGTTTGCCCTCTTTTGTATAAAAAATGGCCACTTCAGGTCGTCTCTTTCCTTCAAGTCAGCCTACAAGGTTCCACTTTGTTCACGTTAACGACCAAGCTACTGCTATTTAGCCCACCACCCGTTCTAGGGACAAGTTTGATTCTTGATCCTAGATCGACTCGATATCGAAGCGGAACTGGAGCCCAAATGATATCAAAAGCTTTTTCTTATGCTGAACTATTTTATTTCAGGATTATGACCATTAGTGTGGATGGTAAAACTAAATCTTTCGATGAGAATGCGTCTGGTTGCGCAAAAACTGAAGCTATTAATGTTTTGTTTCTCCAGAAAGCTAAGGATGCTTTGCGGTAAGTCGTAGTAAAACGCGTTAATTTTTATTAAACATTACTGTAACATTAAAAGATACAACTAATAAATTTATAGTACAGTTTTAAACTTTTAACTATATTCTTCTTTGCCTGGTTACTGGAAATAGGTTTTTTTTCTTTTATAAGCTAGTGCTTGAATAGTATTCCAGCTGATGGTAAATGATTATGCAGCCTAAAAATACACAAGTTTTGCTTGATCCATTCAAACCCGCATTAAAGAGTACAGCTGATGTGAATAATCAACGCTCCGGGAAGTCTGCAGTCTGTGAACACGTTGTACGTGTTCGCCCCAGTCACTACATTAGATTTGATAGACGACAAATCCTCGCTAAAGAATACCGATTGCTTCCAATCGATTCTATAATTAATAAAATTAAATCCCAACCCAAGCATACAACTGCAAGACTTCAAACTACATACTATAAATTCATACTGCGTAGATGGGAACAGAAATTAATAATTTTAATCTGGTGCTAGCCGTGGTTAACTATGACAGTGGGACGTCAAACAACTCAGTCCCTCCCCCCTCCCGTAACCATAGGTGTTGTAAAGTGTTCGAAACGTCTGAGGCCCATAGAAATCTATTTACCAACAGGTGGATTGTGTACGCGTTTGTCATCCATATTCTATAAAAAACATATTAAAACTTAATGCCAATACTTCTTGTAGAATCTACGCCGATGTTGTCCACGTAAAATGCGAGTATCAACACCTTATGGAAGGCAAAATAGGTCCAAAATTTGGATTCTTTCGCGATCCTGTGAAATATTCTGAATTTTTAAAAAACTTTTACAAAGAAGCAAAAGTACCACCCCAGGCTATTGAATACGTTGAAGCATTTGGTTCAGGTATATAGATTATAATATTTACTTTAAAAAATCCAAATATTTTAAATGTCAAATAACTGTCTTTTAAAAACATGTTTTCTGCTACAGCTGTACCCGAAGCTGATAAAAGTGAATTAGAGTCGATTGATGCTGTATTTTGCAAGGATAGAAAAAAACAACTTCTTGTCGGTAGTGTTATGTCTAATATTGGCTATGGCGAAGCCGCATCTGGAATTTCTGCGGTTATAAAGGTAAAAGAGTTATAAATTTTGTTTATTAACATAGGCAGAAAATAATATTTTCCTTGATTTCTTAAAGTTATTATATCTACATTAAATATTTAAAAACATCTTATCCTTTCGACAAAATTTTAAAACAGTGGAAACTAAAATGAATTTATATATAGTTTGGAAAATCCAAAAGTTCACGCCTCATGAGTGGTTCATTTACGAGTAGTTTTGATGAAAAAATAAATTACCAAAATAAATCGATTACACAAAGTATAAAATCGATGTAGGCTTTATGGTACATTTGTCCTTTGTCTAAAGGGCTAAAGAAAACAATAAAAGCGCCTTTTAATTTTTAATAGCAATAAAACTTGAAAATCATTTCACTAACAAACGACGCGTACTAGGCTATTGATATTAAATAGGTAACCAGTTTATGTAATTCTAAAGCTATTAAAAAAAACCCGGTCTCGATACGTCAATTTTTTGGGGAGTAATCGTAACCACATTATCAAGATATAAGTAGTCACGTAATTTTTTTTCAAACTGTTTTTTATCAAATTAGCAATATAAAAAAATGATTTTTTTAGAAAAATATAAGATGAATTAATTATAGTGTTTTCTTGATATACGGCTATTCATATTATCGTACAAGTGCAATATGGTTATGCTAGAGGCATTTAAGACAACAAAATTGCTTGACCTTGACGTGTCGAGAGTAATGCACCACTTAATAAAGCTTCACGTTATCGTTATCGTTATATCGTTGAGAGTCATCAGTTATCAATTACGGTTAATTTAGTTTAATTTTTAATAATGTAATTTTAGGTTCTTTTGGGGTACCACAAAGGCGAGTTGGCAGGAAACCTATTCTGTGAAACGCCAAGACGTGACGTTGAAGCGTTGCGTGAAGGACGCATGCGCATCGTTACTGAGCATCAACCATTTGGCCGTACTTATACTGCCGTAAATGGCTTATCTCTTACTGGAGTCAATTCCCATACACTCTTATATGGTCATTACAAACCTAAGGTAATCAATCAAACAAAAATAATAAAAATAAAAATAAACTTGTGGTTCCAGCGGTAATCGCACACTATAACGACTGAAAATTTAAATTGAGTAATTAAAGACCTGGGCCTTTAATTTCAATTTAGATCTATATCCAACATGACATACAGCTCACATTTCAATACATACCTGACTTTGATCCGAGTTGGTGTTTATTGTAGTGTTTGACTGCCCTAAACTATTAACTTGTCTCTGGTATATGAATTGTATAAGAATATACATGTTCAAGTAAACGAACATTTTTAAGTATTAATCGGCTATAGAATTTAATATCAGAATGTATTATGCTTATATAATATTTTTGTGGTGGCGTATTAGAACCTATTGTCCTAGACTAAATTAATTGAAAAGCGTGAACTACCACAGGTAGCGTTAAAATTTTGAAAAGCCTGGGGCCGCTGCGATCAGCATTAGGTTCAAATATCTATGAGAACTGTATATATTTGATATAATACACTCTGATATAATAGATATTTGCAATCGCTGCTACGCAAAGCCAATAGTTGGTTGGCAACTGCAGTTTTATAAATTTGTTATTAGTTGTTATTAGAAAGACGCTACTGTCTATCATCTCCTGGTTTGTTCCCTCTGAGACCTTTTACGATACCAACTGGAATATATAAGATATTAGAAGAATATCTACTATTGCACCACCCTCTTACACCGCCACTACACTTTCAATTAACTCACATATTTTATATTCAAATAAAATTACAATAATTTTATTTAAAAATACTACTCATTTTATACGATTTTCATCTTTTCCACAGGATTTATCTCGATACAAGTCAAACATACCGCACTTAGTAACAATTTCTGCGCGCCAAGACACATCGGTTAAGAAAATTCTAGACGATTTAAAATCCCGACCTATCGATCCTGAAGAGCTTGCGTTATTGCATAACATCCATCAGACAAAAATTTCTGGTCATGTGGGCAGGGGATTTACTATATTAGGTATGTTTAACAAGTCTGTTTATCCTATTTTATCTAAACCACGTTTAAATTCAAACAATATCAAAGTAAATGATTTTATTACATCAGAAACTTGAGAAATGGCGGCATAACCATATTTTTTAAAGAAATTGGTCTGTCAAAAAAATGAACAGTCTACGTGTTTGTTAAATGACTGCTACAGGCATGGACATCTGCAACCAAGGTGCCTTTCCAGACGGATTTCGAGATAGAAAGTCCTCCAAAAAAGAGTCCTAATCACTATATGATATTTTGTTTCAAATGGTGAAAATGTGTAAGGTTGTCAAGCAACTTATGTCTGCTAGCATGTTCATGATCTACGTGGAGTTTAATTTAATGTTTGATGATTTAAAATAGCTAAAGAAAAGTATCCGATTCAAAGCCTACAGCTTCCTTTTTCTGAAAGACTAAGGAACGCAGCTGCATTCTCCTTTTTGTTAAGGATGTTCATAGGCGACGTTGGTGGTCACTTACCATCGGATGTGGCGAATGCTTGTTTGTTAAGTTCACAGTACACGGATAGCACGAATTCAATTTCCAATGGCAACATTGAAACTGCCTATCACAATTCTTTTTATGCAAATTTACCTCGTGTTCGGAATAAGGAATACAGAGCAAGTTTATAAAACCGTATATCTGAAAAAATAAAAATATTTTAAGTACATACGAGTAATAAGAAAATGAATTCTTCCTAGCTCGAAAAGTTTCTCAGAAGTGAAAATTTTGGAGCTGTATCCAGTTGCTATGTAAAATTGTATCGATTTTCGATCGTAATGCTAACATTACTACAAATATTATAGACACAAAAATATTAAAGCGTGAAGAAATATAAAATTCGATCGAATTTATTATTTTTACAGATACAAACGCAGACCAGCAGACAGTAAGCCTATGTGAAAAAGTGGATTATTTTGACAACGCAAAAAGACCTCTGTGGTTTGTTTACAGTGGAATGGGATCACAGTGGGCCGGCATGGGCACACAGCTAATGCGTATTCCAATATTTGCTGCTGCTATTGAACGGTAGAATTAATTCTTTACTTTTATATGAATTCAATTAACATCCTGGATACTGCATTTTATCTGATTTTTTTCATCGGGATCGATTTTCTTTTCGACTCATCATCAAAGGTATCATTAGTACTATCGTCTGTCTTCATTTTTGGCAGCGTTTCACAAACAACCTGCATGTAACGCGATATCTCCGCAGATTGTGAAAAAAATTTAATGATATTTTTTTTACTAAATAGTTTATACTTCGAGGGTGGGCCCATATAAATTTGTAGATATATATTATATATATATATATATATATATATATATATATATATATATATATATCTCCAAATTTATATGGGACCACCCTTCTGACCCAATGACTTCATTTTTAGAAATTTCAAGTCGGTTTTTACTTTTTGGTAAAAGTTATAATTATTTGATTCCTAGATGCCGTCGAGTTTTGGAGCCAAAAGGCATTGACATTGTACACATTATAACTTCACCCGATAAATCTACTTTCGACAACATTTTAAACTCTTTTGTCGGAATAGCTGCCATTCAAATTGGACTTACTGACATTCTTTGGGAGCTGGGACTAGTGCCAGATAAAATAATCGGTAAACTATTACAAGCTGGTTCAATTGCTTTTATTATTCTCAGACTAACATAGAAAGAAAGACGGAGCACTGCGTTCATTTGAAGTGGCGCAGTCTAAAATCGTTCGAAACTAACATCATTGTTTTAGGTGCATATTTGTGCGTCCAGAAGTAAACTTTTAATGGCTGAGAAAGAAAGAAAAAAAAAAAGATGTGTGCTTAAGTGCGCGTTAAGAAGTTGAACATAGTTTCAGAATCACTTGAATTTATATAGAGCTATCTTTATTTGTTGGTCTGAGATATTAATATTTGTCTTTGTTTACTATGGCTTAAATGATGAAGTACCTTTTAAGTATACTATACTATAAAGTCTTACTGTTAATGATATGCAACGTTTATAAATTATAATAACCGGTAAAAATTACAAGGATAGAAAAGTCCTAATGTGTTATGCGTTTAATATAAATACTAACTTATAATTAACTTCTGCCTTAGGTCATAGTGTTGGTGAATTGGGATGTGCGTATGCAGATGGATGTTTCACTGCAGAGGAGATGATACTTGCTGCTTATTACCGTGGGCTTGTATCAGTGCAAACTCCGTTTATTCGTGGTTCCATGGCGGCAGTTGGCATTGGATATCAGGAGGTACAAACATTATTAATTAACGGTTGTTCATCAATAAAACAAGTACGTTAATGTACTCGTAGCATGAAAGAAGCATTTTTCCTTCTTAGGGTGGCGTACAGTTTACAAAGTGTGATAAAAATCTTAGGTATGTTAGTGATGACTTAATAATAACCACTTCAAAATAAAAATTTAGTTAAAATTGCAGCCAATATTCATCCCACAGCACACTTGGTCATTATCTCATTTCTGATAGGGTTTTAGTGCAAGGAAATATTCGCCGCGTTGCCCCAATGCGAGTTGGCGAACTTCACAAGTCTTCCTAATTTTTTTTTATTACTCCTCAGACCTTCTTACTTACCTAAAATATCAAAGTACTAAGTGTCGAATAGTTTGCTTGTGAAGATGCCAATTACAGAAAATTTACCCTATTAGGAAGAGGATAATGTGCAGGGATAGACTGAAAAAAAACAGTTTGAACTAGGGAGAGGCTAAAAAATGGGCAGTAGATTGTTACGAGATGTCTGGTACAACGATCGTCAACTCGCTGGCCAAGCGTCGCGTGTCCAGCAGGAGACTTTAATAGGCTCATGATGATGATGATTGCAGAGTATTAAGAGAGAATGGGGATTTAAAAAAAGTTAGTCCTTTATATGAAATTATTTCTGCGGTAATAATTTTCGTAATTTATGTGGCTAACTACCTTTATACTAAGAGCGTTTATATTAACTCGTTTTTAATGAAAATCATCTTGATGATTTATAGAAGAAAGGGGTGATAATTAAGTACAAAATCCACCTGGAATCTGGTAAGTGGATGTTAGTTAGATAAGAGGTTGCTGTTGCCCTTGGACGTCTATATCATCTTCTAATATGAATGGAAATAGGCTAGGCTCTATTTTTGCTTCCAACTCAACTCTAGATGACGGCGGGAACACACCGCCGACCATCCCGCGGTGTTAGTGCTCCATGTAGGAAGTGCTGTTTACACAGTGCTCGCTGCGTAAAGCACTCCGTTCCCTGGACGTCAACAAGTCGAGAGGGCCTGATGGATTCCCACCTATTGTACTGAAGACGTGCGCTCCGGAGTTGGAACCGGTTTATCGCGTCTTTTTTGTACTCCTACTCCCTAGGCGTAGTCCCGAACTCATGGAAGACAGCTTTGGTGCACCCGATCCCTAAAAAAGGCGACCGCTCAGATCCGTCCAACTACAGGCCTATCGCTATCACCTCCTTGTTTTCCAAAATAGTGGAAGGCATTATCAACTGCCAGCTCATGCGGTACCTTGAGGATCGCTAGCTGATTAGTGACTGCCATTACGGTTTCCGTCGAGGTCGCTCAGCTTGTGATCTTCTAGGTTACCTAACTCATAGTTGGGTTGAGACAGTGGAGTCCAATGGGGAGGCGATGGCCTTTAGTTTGGACATAGCGAAGGCCTTCGATCGGGTCTGGCACAAAGCGCTTCTTTCGAAGCTCCTTTCCTATGGGCTTCCCGCGAAATTGTGCAATTGGATCACCAGTTTATTTGCAGATCTGAGCATCAAGGTCGTAGTAGACGATGCATGCTCCGATTACAAGCCCATTAACGCAGCCACATGGCTGCGCGCTATCAGCAACGCTGTTTCTTCTGCATATCAATGATATGTTGCAAACCAGTAACATTCATTGCTATGCAGAAAACAGCAATGGTTATTATTTATACACCAGCCGTGCCAATGTTTCTCGGGAAAACGTCGCCTAGTATTGGAAAAAAATTGTGTTTCAAGTCTAAACTTTGTTGAACCATGTTTCAGACTGGGGCTGACTAAATCTAGTCCAGTTAATCCCGCCGACAAACTGTTACGCAGTTTGGTGGGTGTGAAAAATGTACTAAAGGTTTGGTCCAGAATAAATGATTTATTATTATTATTATTATCCTCAGAAGACGCAAGTTTTGATTTTACCGCTAAAAAGAACCCCTTTGTCGTATCTCCTCAGTTTCAAGGCACTCTTCTTGTTACCTCTCAGCTAGTATTGGAATCCTCGGTGTCGACATATCGAGTGACGTGGAGTTTCGTGGTCACTTGGAAGAGAAGCCCAAATTGGCCTTAGCTTAGTGTACTCAGCAGAAAGGGACAGTATTTTATGCCAGCACCCCGCTTGTAACTTTACAAGGCGCAGGTTCGGCCTCACATGGAATACTGTTCCCTTCTCTGGGCAGGGGCTCCCCAGTGCAAGCTCCTTCCACTTGACCGCATCTAGCGCAGAGCGGTTGGAATCGACGACGACCGAGTACTTTCCGATCGGCTTGACTCACTGGCACTGCGTAGAGATGATGCATCTCTTTGCATATTTTATCGCGTCTATCACGGGGAGGGCTCTGAGGAATTGTTCGGACTAATTCCAGCCGCTTAATTTCATCATCACACATCGTGACAAAACTCGCGATACCATCCATACCATCTAGATGATTCGTGGTCCACCACTGTGTCATTTAGAAGAAGTTTTCTTCTTCGCACAACTTTCTTGTGGAATCGATTACCACCACCGATTTTTCCAGACCGATACGACTTAGGGACCTTCAAGAAAAGAGCCTACTCATTTTTAAAAGGCTGGCAACGCATCTGCAATTCCTCTGGTGTTACAGTTGTTCATGTCCGGCGGTAGTCACTTACCGTTAGATGAGCCGAACTTTCGTTTGCCCCCTTTCCTATAAAAAAAAACAAATACAGATTTTTTAAATTGAAATATTTAAACTACTATAACAGGAATGACCTAATATGGAGGTGTAATTATTTTTATGTTTAACAAAAATGTGATACTTAACTAAAAACGTTATAAACAATCCTATTCTAATGAATTCTCTAACGGTGCAACATAGACATTAAAAAAATAAGACAATTAAAAAAAATCTAAAGCCATTATATAAGCGTGCCTAACGTTCGCGTTAAACGCTCCTTGTCTAGTAAATTGGTACGTGCGCGCGGGACGGACAGCAGCCGCGGCTGTAAAAGTATCTCCGGTGTTCGTCACGTACCGTGTATTGGCGGTGTAAGAATATCAGGCAATTTATGGGGAAGGCCAATGTTTAGTAGTGAACTTTAACAGGCTGTAACGGTAACGGAGTATCCGTGCTAGCGTGTCCTTCCGCGGTAGAGCCGACCAATTCGTGCAACAGGCATAATACATTACATAGTAGCTCTACCACGTATCGCCCTCACCCTATATATTGCCTTTGCCATAAAAATGTTTCCTCTTACAGGTTTTAAAGATGTGCCCTCCTGAAATTGAGGTTGCATGCCATAATGGACCAGACTCAAGTACGATTTCAGGCCCCGCAAATGTAATGAGGGAATTCGTAGCTCAATTAACTGCTAAGAAGATATTTGCGAAGGAGGTCCCATGTTCAAATATTGCTTATCATTCACGGTACATTGCTGAAGCTGGTGAGTTTTAGTGAATTATACACACACACACTATTGTTTTTATAATTTCTAAATTTCGGTGATTTTCGAAATTATTCATCAGCATCATATGACTAAGGTTGTCGTAGCTTTGATTTATTATATTAACGTGAACACTACACATTAAAATAAAACTTCTGCAGACCTCCTGGAGCGAAGATGCCGTCAGAGTCTGTAGTCTGTGAACATGCATAGGATCGCCCCTGTCACTACATCAGATTTGTTAGACCACAAAAGCTTGCTAAAAAACAACGATTCCTTCTAAGGATGGTTCGAGAGGCTATTGTAAACAAAAACATCCTCATTTCAATAGAGAAGATGGCTGGGTGCTACCTGCTTGGGATCCTAAAATTAATAAAATGAAATCCCAACCGAAGCATACAACTACAAGAAATCAAAATACTATAAGTTCATACTGTGTAGATCGGAACAAAAAGTAATAATTTTAATCTGGAGGTAGCGGTGGTTATCTATGACTTTGGGACGTCGAACACCTCAGGGGAGCCGTGACCATGGGTGCTGTAAAGTGTTCGAAACGTCGGGAATATAAAATAAGATAATACGTGATAAAATTGGAAAAACTAGTTTTATTAAATGGCTTAACTTTATTTTTTTGTATTCTGTATTGTATTATTGTTCGTTGGAATTTAAAGTTCTAAGTAATTATTTTAGTACTACTGTCTTTTGTGCCAAATAATTATCTCTTATTTTACCATTTTTTGATATAATTAATACGCACAGCCTCTTTCTTTATATGGTTATAGTTATGAGAAAGCTTAGCAATGAACGGTAGGTGTTAAGGGAAACAAGTTTCTGATATAATAACATTTCCAACGTTAACGTTGTGTAATTAGTATTTCTAAAATATTTTTAAGGTTAAAACTCATATGTTAGAAGTGATTAACGATGTACTCCTATACCGGAGATGACTTGCTTCTGAAATTGGGCACGGAGGACATTTTATTATTAGTCTGTCGCATGAATATTATATTGAAATCTATTTTATCTTGAGTATTTTGATAAATATTTAATAATTACTACTTCGATTTACAGGCCCTGGACTACTGAAACATTTAAGTGAGGTCATCAAAACTCCTAAACTCCGTAGTGAAAAATGGGTATCGACTTCAGTGCCGCAAGAAAAATGGAACGAGCCAATTGCGAAATATTCCTCTGCAGAATATCACACCAATAATTTGCTCGTAAGTTGTTTGCTTGCAAATTAATTTAAGAAATTTTGATTGTGGTTAGATAAGTTAACTTAGTTGACTTACTTCCATTTATCCTCGATTAAGAATCAAAATGCACATGGAACTAATTGTAAGACTTAATGATATATAGCAGATGTTCGAGAACAGCTAACTTATGCTGCTATTTGACGCTGGTATTCCGTGCTAGCGTGGTTTTTCCTCGACTGAGCCAGCCAATTCATGCTGCAGCTTCATGTTTGACGTATAAAAATTTAATTTACTTTTTTAGAATTCCGTGCTGTTCGAGGAAACTTCTAGATTGATACCATCCGATGCTGTGCTTGTGGAAATAGCACCACATGGGTTACTTCAAGCGATTCTGAAGCGGTCTCTGGCAGACTCTTGTCGACACATACCGCTCACTCGTCGGGGACATTCTGATAGCGTGCAATACTTGCTAGAAGCTATTGGAAAGTTAGTATTTACGAATCTTATCAATTACCATGAAATATGGACCATTGTTGTGTGCATTGCAGTGAGTGAAAGATATTCCCGCAAATCATATTTTTCCTTCTTGATCAGCCCGTAAAAGTCCACAGCTGGATAATCATTATCATCGTGATCATCGTAGGCGGGTCTTCACTCTTCACCCTTTTGTTGTCAATATTCGACGCGTTGGATCCCAATTGCTTGCTTCGTCTTTTGTGATGCGTACAGAAAAGGAAAGAAATACTTTGCCGGCATCTATCTTTCCATTCGAATACAATCTAGGCGTCTTCGGGGTAAGAGTGAATAGGCGTTTGTTAAGCTAAGACAGTGCGATTTACCATCTAGGGCTACATCACTACTTACCACCAGATGCGATTGTGGTCAAGTACTGGCTTACAATTTGAAAAAAAAAATCATTATCAATAAATTCATCAATTTATTACATTGATCAAACGTCCATTGAAAAAACAAAGGCCATCGCCATCATCGCTCATACTACATACATTTATATACACTTGTTGTTAATAACTTTATTAATATTTTTGCCATAGTTGCCACGCTTGACACTCGGGTTTGCAAATGAATCTTTTTATAATTTTACGTCGTTATCGGGAAGATGCTGCTGCCCATCTCCTATTTCAGTTACCCTCTGTCACTTCTAACGACTCCTATGGGAAGATATGGGGATATAATATAATATATTAATTAATTCATTATTATTGATGTTATATTTGAAAACTAAAAATATATAAATTATATATACTTATAAATGATTATTTTCAAAATTTTTCTTTATCTTACTACTAAAAGTGCATTATTAAAATAAACTCGTATTCTTTCAGATTATTCATGGAAGGATACAATCCTAAAGTGCAAGCGCTTTATCCTAAGATCGAATTTCCTGTTTCAACTGGAACTCCATTGTTATCTCATCTGGTGGAATGGGCTCATCATGAAAAGTGGTAAGTAGTACGACTTTTATCTTTTATTTAATATTATGTAGTTATATAGTTCTGGGCTAAATATTCTTTCATTTACGAGATGGTAATGAAGCGATTAGTCCACTGCGCTACTTCAATGGACGGTTGAGTGGCGCAGTGGCTTTGCTATGAGTTGCAGAGCTAAGAGCCGCGGGTTCGAATCCCGCACAGAACAAGTATTTATATGGCCTACAAATAATTGTTCCTGATCTGGATGTTTGTCCTTGTGAAAGTTATGTCTGTAAACTACCCCCACGCTACAGGAGAAAATCATAGTGTGGAGATAACGTCTTTCAGATAAAGAAAAAAAGGAAGAACTTTTGATGTTTTCTTTCACCGCCGACCGCGTGATAATTCAGCAGTAAAAATTGCAGCAATTTCATTGATGCTGGAAATTTACGGGAAGCGCTTAGTCCTTGAGCTATCGGTGTTAAAAATATTATAACGTGTAATATAATATAATGCCAAATATAATATTGCATGATTATTATTTTCTTAAAACACTTTTATTCGTAGGAATATACCACTGTACGTGTCCGCACACCGAAGTTATACTGCATCGTGTAATTTCGTCTATTCAGTACATGATGTGGAAAATAACTATTTGACTGGAAATGTTTTACGAGGTAGGAAGAAACGACTGTTTTGAGTATTGTTGGTAAAATAATGTTTAAAAAAAATCAAATATGCGAAAGTAAGATTAAGCATGTTACAGTTTATCAAATGTCTCAGTTGAACACTCGCCTCCCCTAGGATTGCCACATAAGGGGGATATTTGCCATAATTGCTACACTCCATGAGTTGGCTGGCAGAGAATGCCTTTAGGCATTAAGTCTGCCCTTTGTATTCTTTTTTTAAGGGGACGCAATAAAGATTTAAAAAAAAGTTAACCTGATTGCAAGTGGCTACTGCAACCCGCAAGCACCGGCAACTAACTTCAAGTAAAGGAGGCTACACGTGTTACTTCTGAAAACTAAGAAAAAATGCTTTACATTCTGTAACACATGTACTCCATAGCCTTCAAACCAGATACAACTGATAACAGTACAAATTACGACAAAAATTTTAATGACGCTAGGAAAAAGGGTAGTAACTATATCTTTATTTACGTGGTAGAGCCATGCTGCGGCTATATTAATAGTGCAGTTGTAGCACAAATCACTCGGCTCGATCGGGGAAGGACCAAGCGTCACCACTAATCCCAGCATGGTGACGGGGATAGTGCACGCAATTGAGGGAGGGCGGGAGGTGCTCTTCGTACTAGGTAAGACACATCATTTTATTTTATAACGCGGATATTTGGGAAGTAAATTTTTGTAAAAGCTTTTATATAATGGATTTCCGCAAAGTAACGCCTGATTCTATTAATTATACTCTCACATAATACCAAATAGCATGCATGCATAATAAAATAGCCTAGCAGGAGGACCTCCCAACGGATAGGTATTAAGATGAACATGAATAAAACAAAAATCATGTTTAACGTCCATGTCACACTCATGCCAGTAGTTGTTGGGAGCACTAAACTCGAAGTTGTTAACGAATATGTCTACCTGGGACTAATAGTCCCACTAGGTAAGTCCAACTTCGACCGAGAGGTCAATCAACGGATTCAACTCGGCTGAGCAGCGTTCGGGAGATTACAACACATCTTCTCGTTAGACATACCTTAAAAGTTCAAAACTAGATTGTTCAACCAGTGCGTGTGGCCAGTGATGACCTATGGATCTGAGAGTGTCCTTCAGTGGTCCTTCACTGCTGGCCGTATGAGGAAGCTCAAAGTTGCTCAGCGAGCTATGGAAATGGCTATGCTTGGTGTTTCTCTGCGTGATAAACTTATAAACGAGGATATCCGCTGTAGAACCAGAGTAAACGACATAGCCCAAGGAATTAAAAGAACCGACCACCGATGGGGAAGAAAGGTTCTCGAGTGGCAGCCTCGTACCGTCAGGCGAAGTGTAGGGCGTTCCCCCATTAGATGGAGTGACGACCTGGAAAGACATGCAGGAAGTCGGTGGATGCAGGTAGTTCAGGACCGTGCTTTGTAGCATTCTTTGGGGTAGGCCTATGTTCAGCAGTGGACTTGTGAAGGGCTGTAATGAATGATGATGATAATAAAATAGCAGCTTAACGATGCTGTGTTTCTTATGGTGAGTGTAGAGAACCGTAGATCCTTTTTGCTGGAAACAAGGCATTCCATTTTTGTCCTCAAGGGTAAAAAAGTTCTTTTTTTATAAGATACGGGTATTACACGAGCTAAAAGTCCACCTGATGGCAAGTGGTCTACATCTATCCTCGACTATGAATCAAAATGTAGATGCGTTGTTGTCACCCGTGCAGCACCCAGTCGAGCCGAACCATTCGTGCTACAACTATACTAATAATATAGCTGCAGCATGACTCTACCACGTATGACGTTAATTTCCAAGAGAATAAAAGAAAAATATATACGGATGGAAAAAAGATACACAAATAGGAAATGATAGAGAAAGCTGCGTTTTCAAGTGAAACTAAAACAATGTCCATGTTGACTCATCCTCATGTACACGTCTTTCTTATTTCTTTAACAGCCCGTGAAAGTCCATTACTGGACGCACACATATACGAGTATGCACCTAACCATGCTGTTGGTTGCAAATTATTTTAAATGCAAATGTGTGCGAGGGTGCGTGTTCTTACAATAAGTTGAACATTACAGAAACTTATTGTAAGAACACGCACCCACTACCGAAGACTTATTTGCTGGCCTGGTTTTGGCGTCCCTTAAAATGTAAGCAGCGCTCCGTCTTTCTTTGGCCTGCATATACGATAAAAAACATTGATGGGCCTTATTTATAATCGTTGGCAATAACTTTTTTTCAATTAAGTTTTATTATTTCTATACACGTCCCTTTCTATTGTCATTTAGTGGAAATAGAGAAAGCAACTTTAAGTGTTTTATAATTTACATCGATTTTATGAGCAATGCCAATTTTATAAGTAACTAGCTGGTACCCGGCGCATTGCTGCCGCTAAAGAAATAATTGTTGAAATATCGTTTTAAATTTGAAAGAATTATATTGTTTAATTAGGAATGATAAAACATTCAATAAATTAAATGATATATATCTATCAAATAAATGTGTCGGTACGATAGGCGCGCCACCTTCTGTAACTTAATTGTACTATGCCTATAACCTTCGCGCAAGTGCAAGCAATAAGTTGACAAATTTTTAGCGCAATCTGATGAACAGTATGGCCGAGCATAAAATATATAACAACAAACTTTTTTATATTAGATGTAGTAGTATATTGCGTCATCTGAGCTTTAGTTTAAAACGTATTTTAACTGACATAAAATTTAAAATAAAATATTTCAATCCTAACAGGAAAGAATACATTCCCGTTCGCAGCTGCATTAATTGCAGTTTGGGATGTACTGGCGATGACCATCGGGGTGCCAAAGAAACAATTGTCAGTTCAATACCACGATGTGAAGCTTTATTCCCAACCCATTCTTCATTATCAACGTCAGTTACGACTTTTGGTATCATTTCTAAGAGGTACCGGGTATTTCGAGGTGAGAACTTTTTAAATATTTTCAGTTTTATTACGAAAAGTAGTCTACAATTAGTTGATTGACTGCCTCGTTGGTCTAGTGGTTGTAAACGTAGTTGCTGATTATGAGGTCCTGGTCAAAAATCACAAATCAGGTATTGGGTTTCTCTGCCATGAAATTTTCCGTAGTAGCCCGGTGTCACCCCCCGTACCTAAGAAAGCACATAAAGCCGTTGTTCCCGCTCCAGATTTCTCTGCGGTCGTGTCGGATAACCGTCCTATCAGAGTATTAGTCTAAGAGCTGGCGACGAATTTTGGGAAGATCCTTTGGGCAAGTTGAAATTGTGAAAAAATATAATTTCGTCAATTGGCGAATACAGTCCTGCGAGTCTGCGGCAGAGCGTTTGCGGTTATTTCGTTACTGCGCAGCATATAAAATTTGCAAAAAAATTCCATTTCTTTTTTATCTTTTAATTTAGTTTTCATATAATTCCAAAAAAATAATCCCAGAAGTTTTTGTCGGTTAGAAAGTATTACCAGACCTCTCCAAAAATATTTGTTTTAAATTCCCAAAAAATATACTTTTGGCAAACTCAGATTTTAATCACGTAAACATTGAGTAATTTTTAATAATACCTGCAGATCGCCAGACAAATTTAGCGGTTTTAAACAATTCCCAGACGTGAATAAAGTTTATAAATGAATACGACAAAATAGTCTTATGCGTAGCCATGAGTGCGAGGCAGATAGCTTACCGAAGCATGCCGACAGCGGATGGGGGCCTAAGCTTCTCGCGCTGTGATTGGTTACTAAGAAATATCTTTTTTGAAGATTTTAAGATTAAATTCTTTTTTAGGATTTAGCATATATGTATGTGCATATATGATCATGTAAATATCTGTGTATATAGTTTGAATTATTTCAGATTAGTGCTGTAATAATTTGTAAAATAGCTATTAATTTTAACCTCGTATTAATAGTAACATTGGCAAAAATAGCTTATGATAATTACTACCCCATGTTCTTAAAAAGAGACTATATGTATAAAGTGCTTACCGCCTTGAGATGAAGGTGGAAAAACAACAAAGTAAATTCTTTCTCAGTGATGTGGTACAAATATAGATGACTTTTGAACTACCTAAATGTAGTTATGTATGAGCTATATTATTTTAAATTTTCTTTAAAATACATTCAGTAGTTTTTGCGTGGAAGTGTAACAAACACACATGGTCATATATACACATATATATATGCTAAATCCCAAAACAAGAATTTAATCTTAAAATCTTTAAAAAAGATATTTCTTAGTAACCAATCACAGCGCGAGAGGCTTAGGACCCCATCCGCTGTCAGCATGCTTCGGTAAGCTACTCGTATCTTTCTCGCACTTATGGCTACGCATAAGATTATTTTGTCGTGTTCATTTGTAAACTTTATTCACGTCTGGGAATTGTTTAAAACCGCTAAATTTGTCTGGCGATCTGCAGGTATTATTAAAAATTGATCAATGTATACGTGATTAAAATTTGAGTTTGCCAAAAGTATATTTTTTGGGAATTCAAAAAAAATATTTTTGGAGAGGTCTGGTAATAAATACTTTATAACCGACAGAAACGTCTGGGATTATTTTTTTGGAGTTATATGAAAACTAAATTAAAAGAAAAAAAAGAAATAAAGTTGCAACAAAAACATTTTTTTGGATTTTTTTTTGCAAATATTATAAGCTGCGCAGTAACGAAATAACGCAAACGCTCTGCCAGACTTGCAGGACTGGATTCGCCAATTGACGAAATTATATTTTTTCACAAATTCAACTTGCCCGAAGGACCTTCCCAAAATTCGTTGCCAGCTCTTAGACTATATGAGAGTGTCAGAATAGAGAGTCTTCCTGTGCTTGCGCATACACAGCATGGCTCTACCACGTTACATGTGATAGAGCCATGCTGCAGCTATATTATTGGTATAGTTGCAGCATGAATGGGTCGGCTCGACCTCGGAAGGACCACGCTCTAACAGAATACCAGCGTAAAATAGCAGCTTAACGCTGCTGTGTTCCGTATGGTGAGTGAAGAGAATCGGAGACCCTTTTTACTGGAAATGACGCACTCCATCTAAGTACTCATGGGTGACAACGCATCTGCATTTTGATTCGTTATCGAGGATAGATGTAGATGTCTATGGGCCACAGCAAACACTTACCATCATCATATTATGACCGTTTATCACCCATATACTATAAACAAAAATACACTAGGGCACTACAATCCTGCCCTGTGCGGATCTATTTTCCGTTGAGAATGGCCATCGTAATTGAAATTTGATCTGGAGGATATTATAAATACTTGCAGGTATAAATTAGCATCTGTTGTACGTAATAAGTCATATGGAAATACATGAAACAAAATATTAAGTATGGAGTTTGATAACAAAATGTCAAATTACACGAAAAATGTGGGGCAGCGCCTATGGGACTTTCTTATATAAAGGAACTGTTACAGCAAAGACTGCGATCTCTTGGTATATATGTTTTATTGTTGTGCAATCGATCAAAATGGACGAGCCTTGGCAAGGCTCTTCATATTTATAGTCTCGTACAGCGCCCTCAGCGGTATTACAATGGAACTAATTGCTTAGGTTCTATAACTAACACACTCTGTGATCGATACAATGGTTAGGTTACTTCCTAGTTACAGTACGGGCGATCTAGATGTCGCTAGTTTGTTGTACATGGTATGAGATAGATGGCGCTGTCATCTGAACAGGAACACTTCTTAAACCATAGTTTAAACCGAGAATCCATAAATTCCTTAATATCATAATAACACTTTTTATACAATTTTTGTTTAATAAGTTTTTGAATTTGGCGATTTTTATTTTGAATCGCTATCAGGAAGATGCTGCTGTGCATCTCCCGTTTTAATCACCCTTGCGACGCCTACAGAATAATATGAGGTAGTGAATCTTCTCATATCGCCAAATATACAGCAACATCAACCTCAAATACACCAAAATACCCAAAACGACTAAAGGGAGCAGTAGCTACAACAGATTTTTTAAAATGATGCAGTTAAATATCTAAATTAAATACATAAACGGATAAAGAATAATGTTCTCATTTAATAATTTCATCCACGGACGATCGTTGACGATTGACACTCAGCAGGCGGGTTGACAACCACACTGTTGTATAACTTTGAGTTGTTATCAGGAGGATGTTGCTGTCCATCTTATGTTTCAATTTTCCTATGTCGCTCTTACGATACCCGGGGAACAATATTTCATTCACTGCCATTACACGGTTAAACTTTTATTGAATTAAATAAAAATAAACAAATCATTGACTAACTATGACAGCTGTTTATTGAAATAAACAGGTCACAGACGAGTATTCTAAGATTGCAACGGGTTACATTAAAGGGGATGTCGTTGATATCAGACCATTTGTACTAGAATTTACTTCGACTGAAGAACTTGATTTAAAATCGGACGATATCTATCATTTGTTACACAACAGGGGTTATGATTATAGGTAAGTTGAAATTGAAGATAATTTTAAGTTTTATGCATTATTTAAGATGTAAAATAAAATTTAGAAATTTATTTTCTCACAATCAAATTGGCGTGGCGACCAAATAATAGATGCAGGAAGGATGGATGCAGATAGCTCAAGACCATACATTGTGGCATTCCTTTGGGGAGCCCTTTGTTCAGCACTGGACTTATGTCAGCCTGTAATGGTGATGATGACGACATTTACGAGTAACTTTTAAGTTATTCGGGCTTATAATTATAATAAGCTACTCGGTCAGTTATATATCCCACTCGGGTGATGAGCGTTATTGTTCTTATATTGTAAACAAATATTTATTTTGTTCGAACATTATAATTTAGTTATATGTTTTTATTTATTGTATATTGTGGTATATAAAAATTAAATAGGTAGTTTATTATATATAGCATTCACGTAAGCAATTTAACGTTAGATAGAAAACTAATCAATTAATTAATTTAATTGTGTAGATATGATCGAATTTCGTGCACTAAAATTAAATAATTTCATTTTTATTTTTAGCGGCCAGTTCCAAAGCATTCACAGCGCTAACAAATCTCTTACGGAAGCGCAAATATATTGGCGCAACAACTGGGTAACATTCCTTGATGGTATGCTGCAATTAAATGCTCTAAAGCGTTCTCATCACTCTGTATCTCAACCAACAAACATTAGAAATATTACAATTGATATCAAAAGACACTTCAACAGTCAAGATATATCAATGGGCGATGAAAGAGTCATAACTGCTAATGTTTTTGAGACATATAATATAATCAGGTATTATAATGTAAATAGTTATTTTCCATTTAGTGGTTGCATAAGGTAGTGTTATTAAATATAAACTAATTAAAAGGAAAGATAAACTTTGAATATTATTCTACATATTGCATTAGGTCCTTACATATGAAATTAGCGTTTTGTCGTACTGACCACTTTGATCTGAAATATCTCCTTCTTTGGTTAAGAATTTCGAATTCTAATTTATAAATTCATTTAGCTGGTACATTTGAGTTTTGAAAACAGTCATTTATTTGTTTTTTCCTCATTATTTTTTTCTTTGGCGTCGCTTATTACTGCACATTGGAAAACATGAAATATCGGTATATTTACGAGTACGGGTTCTACCGTGGCACCAGTGCTGTAGAAACAGCTCGAAGGATTAATGATGTGTACGGCGCTGGTGTCGCAAAAGAAAGCACGGCACGTTTTTGGTTTCAACTTTTTCGTTCTGGAAATTTCGACCTTCAGAACCAACCCCGTGGACGGCTGGAGATAAAAGTGGAAAATGAAGAATAAAGGATATTAGGGAAGCGGATCCATCATAAAGAACTTCAGAGATAGCTGCAAGATTCGGGGTAAGTGATAAACTGTATTAATCCACTTGAATACCAAATCGGGAAATTAAAAAAAATATCTTGAACGATGGGTACCTCATGAATTGAATGAATGAACTTGAATGAATGACTGCTGTGTTACTTTGCTCAACCAACACAATAATGAAGGGATTTTAAATCGAATCATTACTTGTGATGAAAAGTGGATACTCTACGATGATCGGAAGAGCTCATCACAATGGCTGAACCCTGGAGACCCAGCAAAATCCTGCCCTAAACGAAAATGTACTCAGAAAAAGTTACTTGTGAGTGTTTGGTGGACAAGCGCTGGTATCGTTCACTACAGCTTTCTAAACTCTGGCCAAACGATTACGGCAGATATTTATTGTCAGCAACTGCAAACTATGAAGGAAGAACTAGCTGCTAAACAACCGAGATTGGTCAATCGCTCTAGGCCACTGCTGCTTCATGACAACGCAAGATCACACACTGCGCAACAAACAACGACTAAGTTAGCTGAGCTACCATTGGAATGTCTGCGACATCCACCGTACTTTCCAGACGTTGAGCCAACAGATTGCCAATTTTCCGGAATTCGGACAACTTCTTACAAGGAAAAAAATTCAACTCTGATGCGGTAGTCCAAACCGCCTTCAAAGAGTTATTGATTCTCGCCCCCATGATTTTTTTAGTAAAGGGATCAATTAACTATGAGAGGGCAAAAGTGCATATATAACAACGGTGCATACTTTGATTAATTAAATATATTTTACAAAAAATAATGACTTTAAATTCTTGCCGTACAAAAGGCCAATTTCATATGTAAGGACCTAATATAATATATTATTCATTCGTAAGTGTAGCTTACTGCAGAGAAATTTTAGATATTGTATTTGAAAGATGTAAAATCATGTACCTACAGATGCGGAGGTGTTGCAATAGAGGATGTTAAGTTCCGCGATTTACCACCATTAGAAAAAGAAACAGATTTGGTAACTTTGAAATTTGTCCCGTACTTTCAACAAGATAAAACTGATGTTAGTATTATAGCAAATTTTTTTGGATTATTTTTATTGTTTAAAATTATTTTTAAAAAGTAATGTTTATTTCAGTTCGAAACAGCTATGTTGGTATATTTGCAAATCGTTGCAGAAAATTTGAATAAGAATGTGATTAATATACTTGAATTGTGTGATCAAAAGAGTGACGAAGCTCATTTCCGGAATCTTAATGATGTTTTTACGAACGTACCTTCTATAGAGGTCCAACACAAAATAATTTATAGAAATAATATTTTAGACGAACGAGCCAACTTTTTAACAGATGTCGATTTGATGTTAGTTACAAACTTATCAAAAGATGATAAGGTAAGAGGATTATGGTTTACTCATAAATACTTAATTTTGCAAAATCAAAATAAAGTTATTTAATCCGAATACACATTGTTTATAAATTGAATGATTTCCTCTTCTTCCTTATGAGGGCAGATTTTATTCTTTTGGCGATAAAATCTTTTGATGATAAGCCATATCCAATACCTACAGCCTGGTTATATCTCAAATATAAAATCAATAAATAATGATTTAAAGAAAGCCCCAAGAATTAGATTATCACTTCAAGGTTATATACTTAAATATGTATATTGTTACATTTATCTAAAAATACATTAAAAATATCCATAATTGACAATTTTTTTTAAATATTTATATTAAACAAGATATATTTAATTTAGTTTTAATTTATTTCCAGTTATGTCAAACTCTGTACCGCGTGCTTTGTCGAGACACTTTCATCGTAAATATAGAGAAATATACAAAGGATTCGTTATTCAATAGACCATCAGCACTATATCGTATCGTAAGTGCACAGAATATGAAAGATGAGAGGCTCGAACTAGTGCGCTGGAGACCTACCTCTAATGCAGTCGCTACGAGCACATTTACAGTGCGCTCTCCTGCCGATCTTGCCTGGTTATCTTCTACTCAAACAACATTACCACAAAGACACAAGCTTCTTATTATAACATCTTATCCGCCTATAGATGGATTGAAAAATCTTGTTCAGCAATGGCGAAAGGATCGCAACCAAATCTATGTGATTATGATAAATCATACAATTTCCGAAGATCAAAACTTAGATCAACTGCCTAACTTAGATTTGGCGTTCAATGTGCTAGATCATGTAAGATCACTGTTATACTTACTTTGATATTTTTATTTGATAAAATTATGTGATATTTGAATCTAATCAATGATTTAACTATTCAGGGACAATGGGGTGGGCTGTTCTTCATACCATTACAGCAAAAATTATCTTCAATTTATGACATCACTCTTCAGAGCTCTTGTATTGGAGATTTTAACTCCTTACATTGGGTTGAAATGCCACGTGTTAACGTTCCTGGTGTGAAAGTAACCGTACGTTTATTGTATTCATAGTTAATTTTGTAATATTATATTTGATTTCATAATTACCACATAAAAAAATATTTTTTGTAAAATCAGGTACATTTTGCTGGATTGAACGATACTGATGTTAAAAAATGTGCTGGAATAATTCCACTTAACAATAAGACTAATGGAAATAATTTCGGAATGGACTTCAGTGGGGTAACTGAAAGGTAAAATGCAATTTATTTTTATAGTTCCATTTTATTAAAGTGATTTGTGGTAAGAGATGCAGGAAGCCGACGGATGCATGTGGTGCAGAACCGTGCTTTGTGGCATACCTTGAAGGAAACCTATTTTCAGCAGTGAACTTTTGATAGTGTAATGATAAAAATAAAGGAATTAAAGTTATGACCTGTAGAAATTTCATCGCTAGGTAAAGGCCTCCTCTCATATGGGTTATGGAATAGATTTCCTCACGATGTTTACCTCCACAATCGTGTACTTGGTAAATCAGCACTTAAAATTGCAATTAACAATTGCATTGGTTCTAGCGAAGATTTAACCGAAAGTTCTTCTAATGATATTACCCTTTATGATTATGTTAAAAATAAGTAATATTTGTATTACTAGTATGATACTCGTAAGTAGAGACATCTCACATTTCTCAAGTGGTTTTGGAGCAAGAAAATGAGTGCTTCGCTACCGGGTTTCGGATGCCGGTGCCAAATTTCACGTGTCTTCTAAATATATTTATTTTATTATTCAGGTTTCGTTACAAAACTATCACCACCGTCGAGCACATGGTCAAACAGTAAAGTAGTAAAATTACAATTAAAAATAATTTTAGTTGTTTTTAATTGTAATTTTCGGTGGCAAATTGGTGGCGGTCGATTTGTTTGGTTACCATAAAAGTTCTGAGAGAGAAAAATATCTAAGGAAACCTTAACCTTAACCTTAACCTTAAAAATATTTCAAAGTCATCTAAAGTCCACCATACACATTGGTGGAATTCAGATGAGTAGCGTGGCGGACACTCCCTTCCAGAAAAGAGACTCCTCTCTTTTCCACAGGCCTCTGCCTGTCCCCAGGAGCTGGACGCATCTAGGCTGTAACTTAATTCATAAAGTTAAAGTCTATATACGTCCCATTGCTGGGTACAGGCTTCCTCTCATTTCTGAGAGAGCTTTTAGGGCAAATGTCCGCTGCGCTGCCCCAATGCGTGTTGGCGAACTTCACATGTCTTCGAAATATTTTTTTTCTTATTTTTCAGAGATGCAGGTTTCCTCCCGATGTTTTCCTTCACCGCGGAGCACGTGGTATATCACTATTTAAAATTGCATATAATAATTTCATTGGTGCCGGCTGGGATCGAACCCGAGTTACTGGCGTAATGTGAAATTTACAGCGAGCGCTTGATGTTTTTTTATTTTATTAAATTTATTTAAATTGAATTTTTAGTGGGGAACGTGTGATGGGATTAGTCGCGGGTGGTGCTGTTAGTTCACATGTTATGGCTCGTCCCGATTTGCTATGGCCCGTACCAGAGTATTGGAGTCTCGAGGAAGCAGCTACAGTACCTCTGGCGTACTGTTTAGCGTTCTACTGTCTTGTGAGTGTTATTAATACATAAGAGTAGTTATTTTAAAAACTGTAACTATAAAATAAATTTTAATATTTGACTGATTAATTAATTATTTTAAAATTTTATTAGCTCTTTGCTGGGAGTCTGTCTCGGTAGATCCTACCTTCTTACATATTCCTGTAGCTAAATGGTTGTGTTTGCACAACTGAATTCTAGTCTAATGGTTATAGAGAGTGCGATTACAGTTTATGGGGCAATCCATCTTCGTCCTCAGAAATGACAATACGTCTGTAGCTTTCTTTATTTGAAATTGGCTGTGGGTGTCCATGGACTGCAGTATTCAATAACCATCAGGCGGGATAACATTCGTCGTTTGTCACTTTATATTTATAAAAAATGTAAGTATAAGTATATTAACGGTTAATCTAACTCTATTATAATACGAAATATATTATTTCAGGGCATAAAATACAAACTTAATCCCGGTGTCACCGTACTTGTTCATGGAGGTGCCGGAGCGTTGGGACAAGCGGTAATATCGATCGCTTTGAGCCAAGGCTGCACAGTCTTTACGACTGTCAGTGATATCAACAAAAAACGTTTTCTGCTTAAATTATTCCCGAAGTTAAAAGGTAAATTTAAACCAAATTATATTTTAAAAGTATTTTTTTTTAATCCGATAAGCGACGGTTGCTAATGTTATGGTGTGGACCGCAAATTCGAGAAGTCGAGAGTTCTAATCCACCATTCGACTACCGACGTAAACCTTCACCACGCCCAACACAAGCATTTTAAGCTTGTCTAGAGTGGTTAACAGGAATATTAGTAATGTAAGTAGTATTGCTGGTTTGATGGTATTTAAAAATCCAAGGTTTAATCAAGTTATAACCTTATATATTATGAACTCATGAGCTTACTCTTATTTCTGAAGAAACGTTTTTTTAGCAATTATCATCAGTTGAGATGCATGCTCGTTGGCTCCTCTTCTATTTAAAAAAAAAATAGACCGGCCGCGTTGTTTTATTGCGTGTTGGTGGACTCAGCCTCTTCCTGAAATATTTTAATCCCGCAGAGATAAATGTTTCCTCCTAGTTTTCTTCATTGACGAGTAGGTGGTAAATTGGCAATTAAAATTCCTAATTTCCATTGATGGTCAGCCTTGAAATAAGCATTAGAATATTTATGCCTTAAAACCCGCCAGCAAAGTGTGGCAACTATGTTGAATACCCTCTTATCAGGCAATGTATGGGGAGGCCTATATTAATCAGGGGACATTGGTAAGCTGTAAAGATGATAATTAATTGACTGTGTAATGATCATGTGGCCCCATCTGTGAGGAGGCCCATGTTCAGCAGTGGACTATAATAGGTGGTAATGAACTTTTTCAAGTTTCAATTGAAATTTTCAGATGACCAGATAGGGAATTCACGTGACTCAACATTTGCTGACATGGTATTAGCGGCAACGAATGGAAAGGGTTGTAACATCGTCATTAGCTGTATTTCTGGTGATCTTAAACACGTAAGTTTCTATTTTGTTTTAAATATTCTCCAGACCAAATATCGATCACAAATCTGCGCAGTACAGGATATAGTAATAATAATATTGTATATAACTATAGTGCCCGAGTGTACCAAACTAAATTAATTATAACCGCTTAGTATCTTTATGATGATATCTTTATATATAATTCTTCAGTACGTGTATTTGTCACTGAACTTTTTTGTGTATTTGAGTGGGTCCGTGAATGACTTAGATTCATAATTAGACCCGGCAGGTGGCGTTGCGATCGGGTTCTAGGTTTTTTATTTTAAGGTCAGCACAACGTCTAGTCGTGACGTCACGTCCGGCGCGCTAGTTTTATCTATGATAATAATCGACCTATCAGACAAAGATGAGGCGGTGCAGGGGCTAAACGCTCAACATAGATTTTATAGTACTCGGGCGATCAGAGATTAATCTCCGTCAGCTCCGACATAATATTGTTATTTTAAGTGCTGGCTTACCACGTCCTCGCCTTTGAAGGAATGATGTATATCAGACAAAATTTCGGTTACGGCGGCCACGCCCAATGAAGATTAGCCATCTGCACAGTATAGAATTATAGTGTTCGGGTGAGTGCGCAAGCATAGATGCGCTCTCTCTTTCTCTCACACTCTTATAGCCCGAAGGGAGGACAATGCGACACGGGCGGAAAGAGATCAGACGCAGGACCAACGGCTTTGCTTGCTTGCGAGTGAAAAACCGCCAACTTCCTGACACCGTGCTGATACTGAATTTTTTTAATCAGAAAAACTCTATAACGGATTTTTTGGCCCGTCCCGGAATCGAACCCTCATGATCAACAGTCGCGTTTACGACCACTGGAGCATCGAGGCAGTAGTAATATTTTTAGTAACTATAAAAAAAGGAAATAATCAAAATAGTTACTTATAATATTTCCTTTTCAGAATTCCCTAAAATGCGCTGCACTGTACGGTGTAACGATTGATACGTCGCAAATGACAACCCGAGAGGATTTCTCTTATGGGTTACACAGCATGACTAAAGAGAGGTCGTACATAGCTGTCCACTTCAGTCAGCTGTTCGCTCAAGAAAGTAACGCGGAATTGAAAGTAAGCAGTTCATAATTTATCTGTCTATATAAAACATACAAGTAGTAAAATTAAAAATGTTGTACAACCGACTTCAATATAAATATAATTTATTGTTAATTTTTTTTAAAACCGCTCGACCGATTTCGATAAAATTTAAATGGGACCACCTGAGAAATATACCATTTGAAACAAAAAAAGAATTTTCAAATTCTGTTGAGGCGGCTTTGAGTAATCGGTGAACATACATAAAAAAAGATTCCGACGAATCGTAAACCACTCCTTCTTTTTGAAGTCGGTTGAAAGACACAAAAAATGTTTCTACCTATGTCCGTTATATATTTTGAAACCATCCAACCAATGTGCCCCGATCCGGTTTCACTGTAATAATGCGAAAATTATTTTAGACCACTGAAAAAAAAACAAAATTTCCTTTTATAAATGTATTTTTTTAGCGCACACGCTAGTTTATTTTAATAACGATTTTGTTGCCAAAAATGTTAACAACTCTTAAAAATAAACTGAAGTAAAACAAAGTCATTTAGGTATTTTTTTAGAGTGACAGCAAGTCACTACTAACTAATTTTTATCAATTTTACTACATGCACAAATATTATTTTTTAAGTTTTACCCGAATGACCCAGAAGGAGAACACTGTTTTCAAGGGGTATGTGTTTATTTACGTATTACGTAATTACGTAAGGCTATTTCTTTGGCACGCCTTGTAGCCTAAATAACTTGATAGATTTTAACATATTAGATGTCGATAGTTTTTTTTTTATAGTATACGCGTGACAAACGAGCACACAGTACACCTGATGGAAAGCGGCTGCAGTGGCCCATAGACATCTACATCTATCTTCGATGACGAATCAAACTGCAGATGCGTTGTCACCCGTGAGGACTAAGATGGAATGCCTCGTTTCTAGTAAAACGGGTCTCCGGTTCTCTACCCTCACCATACGGAAGACAACAGCGTTAAGCTACTATTTTACACTGGGATTCTGTGAGAGCGTGGTCTTTCCCTGGTCGAGCCGACCCATTTGTGCTACACCTTTACCAGTAATATAGCTGCATCATGGCTCTACCACGTATAGAAAGTGACGTAGGATATATAATATTCATATTGCAATATATGAATATTATATATCCTACGTCACTGCTTGCGATTATTTTAAAAAACAAAATTGAAATACAATGCTTTTTTCTAAGCTTGCGAGTTAAATCAATTATGTTACTTTATTTTTTTAAATAGAAACTACAGTTGATGGTGTCTGAGGGTATTAAGCGAGGGTACGTACGACCGTTATCACGAGTCATATATGCTCCTACGGACGTTTCCCGTGCCTTCCGCCTATTAGCCGCTAGTCAGCATCGTGGGCGTGCACTAGTTCAACTTCGAGCTAACAACAAGACTCAAGATGGGCTTTTACCATGCTATAAACCTAGGTAAATTGTGTATATTTTCAACTACTAAACTAACTATTACTGCTTAATGCCTATTCATCAGTGACCTACCAATCTGATGAACATATAGTAACTAAGGAGCTAAGCACTAGCCCTTAAGCTACCACGTCTTCGCTAGACGCTCGGGGCGGGAGCGTCTAGAGCAGTGATGCACAGACTTATTAAGACTAGGGGCCACTCCCCGTCGAGCCCGCCCGAAGCCTTCTGTTCAAGACATTCAAATGATTTGTAATATCAACTAAAAAAGCCAAATGACACAACCAATCAGGATTTTTAAGTTCCGGGACATCCCTTTGCTTTTCCGCCAGAAATATTCCAATTTCTTCTATTAAATTTAGAAATATTTCCTGTGTCAATCCACGACTTAGCCACCTTACTTCTGTATAATACAGTAAATCTCCATATTCGTTTTCGATGTCATCAAGGAATTATTTGAATTGCCTGTGATTGAGTCCTCGTGATTTTATGAAATTTACAGTCGAAACTACCACTTTCATGACATTTTGAAATTCAATTTTTTTAGAACAGAAGGCTTCTTGGTGTAAAATGCAGTAAAACTGCATGAGATCTTCAGTTTTTATGTTTTTTTTCTTGCAGATGCATTTTCAGCAAAGTAACTAGCCCAGAATTGACACCAATCATCGAAGGAGCACCGTCAGTCGCAACTCCCGATAATTTTGGTATAAGTCCAAATCAATTTTTGAATACTCATCCAAAAGTACATTGAGTATATCAACTCCTCTGGTTTGACCTTTCAATGAACACATTCCTAATAACTCTTCTAAGACTTCAAAATCTTGAGTAACACCTCGTATGAATATCAGAAGTTGAGCTGTGGAACTAATATCAGTGGATTCGTCGAGTGCTAATGAAAAAAATTCAACGATCTTAGTTTTTTCATTTTATTGTTCCGCAATATTACCTGACAAAGACATAATTCGTCTTTGGATAGTCATACGATTCAGTTGAATTTTCTAAAACTTTTTTGCTGCTTTTGGACACATTTTCTTAGCGGCAATTTCTATGCATTCTTTTACAAAATCCCCATCATTGAAGGGGCGACTTCGCTTTGCTATCATTCGAGAAATTTCATAACTAACTTCTGTAGCTGTTTCTGAATCTTGAATGGGTTTTGTAAACATAGCTTGCTGACCAATGAGCTCCCGTTTCAAAGACAACATTTTTTGCTTTCTTAATTCGCCTGTAAACTTGGTAAAAGTAGGATGCTGCGTTTCATAGTGCCTTTTTACATTATATTCCTTTGCAATCGCAACAGAATTCTTGCAAATTAAGCAAACGACTTTGTTATGCGACCATACAAAAAAGTATTTCTCAGTTCATATTTCTTGAAACTGCCGATTTTCATCTTAAACCTTACGTTTTTTACTAGGTACTGGCTTGTCCATGTTGCGTTCTAATCCTGGCTAGGATTAACACCACACCTAAAAACAATTACAGTGCCTACTTAAATTACCCATCCTTTTTTAAATTACCAAAAATAATTGATTAAATAAGTAGGGAAACACTTATTAACAACAGAGTTTTACTTACGATTTCACAACACAATTATACACGGTATTTGACGGGAAATCTACGTTGAATGTGGATCAAAATATATGACACCGGCTAGTCGAGTTAAAATCTCCACTAGAACTATTGACACTTCACTCAAATTAAAACCGTACTGTCGGTCGCTGCGGTTAGCGTGGCTTTTATACCGCGCGTATAGAGTCGAAAACTGTCTGGAGAAATCACGAAACCGACTCTGGAAGCTTCGTGTATCTACCTACGCGAGCAATCGGGAATTCGGGACTATTGCTGTCTCGCTTGTTCTAACAATATAACCCGTGGATAAGCCGCCACCGCGCTGCCGTCGTCGCCGCGCCACCGTCCGCGGCGGTTCCTCAAGAAAACGAATTTAACCGAGATCAGCACGAACATTACCGACCGCTGTTACCGACGCATGCACGGCGCACCGATAAGCGCACTTAAGAGAGCGCGCGCGAGATTCAAATTACTTTTCGGACATATTTTTTTTGGTTTTATTCTGGGATATAATTTAATATTTTTCGAATGTACGAGAGTATTATTTTTGCTGTCGGCGGGCCAATAGTATTCGATCGGCGGGCCGCGGTCTGTGCATCAACGGTCTAGAGAGGCGTTCCCCCCCCCCACCCCGAGCGTCTGGCGAAGACGTGGTAGCTTAGGGGCTAGCGCTTAGCCCCTAAGTTACTACGTGTTCATCAGATGATTAGATGTAATCCCCGAGGAGGTCGATGTTACTGATGAGGTCCCGAGACATCGTAATAGCACTGGGTGCTGGGGTCAGAAAGGACTGTCCCCGGGACGGGCTTTAATAAAGCAAAGCGAGAGAGGAGCCCCGGTAGCGTTCCGAACGGAGATCTCGGGACCCTTTATATACGCTGATGGTGACAACCGTGGGGCTTTAGGCGGTGGGAGTCCAACATAACCCCTTCGATGCCCCGAAGCGGAAGGTATGCTGAGGATTTCGCTAATTGATTTTATACATCGTATGTGTAATGGATTTGCGCAAAAGAACGCCTGATTATATTAATTATTTTATAACTAAGGAATAACAAAGCATGTGGTTATCTTTGTTTGTTTTCGGTTGCAGATGTCCATGGTTTATTGAAACCACTTGCTATTATCATTAGCCATTTCAATAAAAAAGGTTTCACATGACCCGCTACTGATTAAAAAAGTATTTACCTAGCCTGTAACTGATTGTACAGTGTTTTTATAGTTTTAGATTTTGTCTTGCCGTTATGAACCAGTTGCAAATAAAAGCACATGATTGCTTATTTTCTTGTATGACGTTTTTATACATTATTGTATTTAATACTTTTTCAGGTTATCCTGCTCTCCAGATTTAAGTCAACTAATACTGTGCAATAATGACTATTTAGGTTTACAATTTGCAAAAAGATTAGTAAGCCGTGGCGCCCGCAAAGTTTACTTGCACTCTTTGAAAAGTTCTGAATATCTTGACCCTGAAATTCGGTATGGCTATATAATGTTTCTATAATTTACATTGAATTTATTTCTTAGTAATGTAACTTCTAATACAACGATTTAATTTACAGGTCACTAGTAAAACAAGGTGTTCAAGTAAAACTCACTAATGAAATATTAAAAAGTGAAAACGATGTTACACACTTACTAAACGATTGCAACAACCTCGGCACCGTTGAAGGGGTTTACATAGTAGCAACCAAAGAAATATCTGATGCAGGATCAGATAATTTAATTCGAATACTGGATTTAGTTTCAAGAAAACTTTGTCCACACATCAAGTAAGTAATTATTAAATATTAACATTAATTTATTTTCAACAGAAATTGTAGTACTAGAGCAAAAATATTGTACAAAAACTAAGGGATCCTCATAGATTAATGATAGGTCATCGCGCGCTCTGACTAGATACCGCGCTACCTGAATGTAACAGCTCCTTGAATGAGGAAACTCAATATTGTAATGTGTATAAGACAGCTTAACTATTACCCGATTAACGAGAAAAATTATTTTATGCTATTGCTTAGTAGTTAAGTTCATAGTTATGAAAGTAGACCAGAAATAATTAAAAATGAATAATTTATTAATAACGAATGTATCAATATATTTGTGTATATCATGTATAGGTTTTTCTTCTGAATAAATGGCATATAAATGATAAGGCCTCATTTTTATCAGTTTAATTTTTATATTTAAATGTCTGACTAATATACACAAATTATTTAAAAAAATAGTTATAAATTATATGGTGTTACCAAATTTTTATTTTTATTATATTTTGTTATAGCAATAATAGCCAATACACATTCTGTGAAAATTTCCAGTATCTACTTATTACGGTTCATAAAATACAGCTTGCTGACAGACAGACGGAACGATAGTAGAAACTTAAGTCCCGTTGACACTCTTTGGGTACGGAACCCTAATAAACGGAAATAATGTTTTAATAATAAAAATAACAATTAAATAATATAGAATTAGGTTATATTATAATAAGTTAAATATATTATATCTATACATATAATAAAACTGTAAATAGCAGATGTCTGTACATTTTATATTTTTGTAATAAAAGTGATTGAGGGGTACTAAAAATAAGTAATTAAATACATTTCTACCATTTTTAGAATTTTCTGTCTGTCTGTCTGTCTGTCTGTCTGTCTGTCTGTTTGTTTGTTAACGTATCACGTATAAAGTACTAATTTATATCATAAGAATTGTTAAGGAAATTATAAAGTGTATCTTCGGGTTACATTTAGTCTTTATTTCATTAAAATCAGTTCATTCCATCAAAAGTTATGATAAATATTCTGAAGTATGGGTAGGGAAGTATAGGTACGAATTTGCTCAACGGTGGCTTTGTTTGAGTCATCAGGTGCATTTTAAACTAATATCATATCATAAATCATAGTTAAATTATGTAAAATAATGATATAATTATGTATATCTAAAACGCAGTAAACAAAAGTATTAAAAAACGTATTAAATATATTATACAAAAATATATTAACCTTATTAACTAAATCTGAAGCACAATAGTTTTCCCATTTCTTCGATAGATGGTGGTGTTGTGAAAATGTAATGCAATTGCAATGTTTTTTTTCCTGTAGATGAGTTTTCATATTTACTGCTAATCTTTATTATATTACTCGCTGCCCTACTGCGTGTTGATAAACTCAATTTATTCTTTACCGCCGAGTACTCTATGTGGTAAATCAAATTTTAAAAGAGCTATTAACAAATCGTTGATTTTGGCGAGAGTCAAACTTTATTTTTTGCTTACTGTGCAGGCACTGATTTATAAGTACTCTTGCGTTTTATATAATGTATCAATCGCGTCAATTAATCTCTTTTATTTTTAGAATTGATGTTAGCAGCGCCATCTCTCTTTAAATATATACATATAATAAAAATGATGATAACATATTGTGTCTCTTTCTGTACATTGTATAGGTATATATTTTGGTGGCTAAAATCATTATGGGGAACTGAAAATAATTAAATAAGAACATTTTATAATTTTTAGAATTGTCTGTATGTCTATTTGTCTGTTATTATATGAACGCATCACGTCTAAAGTAAACATCTTTTATTTTCAAATAAATCGTTAAGAAAATCATAAAGCGTATCTTCGAGTTACATTTAATCTTTGTTTTATTAAAATTGGTTAATTCTATCGAAAGTAATGATTATTATTTTGAAATGTAGGTTCGAATTTGTTCAATGGCGCCATAAAATCTCAGAAATAGTAATAAAAAGATTTGTGTGTAAAAAAAACGTTCCATAATAATTAATATATTTATACTTAAAACACAAAAAGAGATTTAAAAAGGATGTTTTCTCACACAAAGGACGTAATAGATGGAGTTGTACAAATTACAAACTTTTCTGAATTGCTGTGTTGAGATTTTTCGCCGATGAATCGTATTGAGACTTACTGAAGAAATTTGTATCCATCGAAGCCATACAACGGAATCCGACCAAAAATAAAAATTTTGCAACGAAATGTCGTGATATTGTATTTATAATATACGCAAAATCAGTACTGCCACTTTAGCTCTTTGGGAACTAGATTTAGCGCTTTTTTGGAATGTATAGCGCGCATTTCGAAATTTTAGCCCTAGCTTAATCCAGCGCTTTTTGGTGTATTTAGCACACATTTCAATATTTTAGCGACTAGCGGGTTATTAACTCTTTTATAGCAGCACTGTTAGTCCACATTACCGATAATAATAATAATGACCTTTATTATTTTTTCCCACAAATAGTAAATTGCAGTTTATCTTTTTCAAACATATTTTTTCCACAAAACAAAGAGCATGGGAGACGAGTCCAAACTAGGATACCCTGTGCTATGGATCTCCTGGCTTCCCCTTTAGGATGATCAACTTGATTTTTTTACCGACGACTATAAGCGGGGAAACCCCTTTATTCAAGTTTTTGTTCATGGTTTTGGCAACGCATTTATTTTGCTTTATTCAGTTTCAGTCAGTTGCTTAGAGCACAGCTAAGTTAAAAGTTACTTAGAAGTTATAACACAAAGAAACTGTGTAGCAACCGCAATCAGATGCTGACATCTGAAACTAAGTTGCGAAATACATTGCACTTTAAAACAATTAATGACATTTTTATTGTTCGTACAGTACTAACTACTGTTGACAGCAATTGCCATAATTATAAGTCGATGTCCTGCGAAGTATTGATACATCAAAAAAATATTGCCAGAAAAAAAACTTAATGTTGTTTTCTTTATTATGATTATATAAAAAAACACAAACTTTGTTTGTAGTTAATTTAGCGCGAAATCTAGGGCTTTTTTAAAGCGCTGTTTTCATGAAATCTAGCGCTTTTTGTGTTGTCCTAGAGCTGAATTAGTTTTTTTTATCTGGCAGCACTGCCCAAAAACCCTCTATTAAGAAGTAACTTTCCTTTCAGTTTTAAGCGCGTTCAGTTCCCAGTTACAGTGAGCGTGTGTTATGCGATGACCGTAAATAAAGCGCAAGGTCAAACTTTACGCGTTGTAGGAGTGTACCTCAGTACTGACTGTTTTGCACATGGCCAACTCTATGTTGCTTTTTCCCGCGTTAGTAGCCCCCGTAACCTTTTAGTGTACACCCCGGCTAAGCCTACTTCTCACGTCGTTTACACAGAAGCTCTATCATAAACGACTTAGAACTTTGATGATAATGATTTATTTAGTTACCACTTATTGATACAGTAATGAAATAAATCGCTTAATATTCTCTTACCTAAACGACAAATTGTTTCAAACGACAATCGACTAAAAACGGGCACAGCTAGTTATAAAATATAGTAACAATAAATTCACATATAAAAATCTCAGCCACGGGGAACTTTATTTTTGTATACGCGGCAACACCGAATGGCGTCTTTCATATTTTGTAACTTATTTATGGCTCGTGTTATTTTATGTTGAAATTTCGAAATTGTATGATACTTACTGATAGTATGTGACCCCAGTATTTTTCTTATTTCTTGTAATATTATTTTACACAGTTTCACTACGCAAACTGGTATTTTACTTCGGATTATGATCAAAATTTAATAAAATATTCGGTACGTCCACACCACATATCGCCTGCAACGCGACTGGCTCGGGTACGCCGATTTTGGCGTAGTATTTGTTGTCGCATTTTACAACAGCGCCATCGGTATCTAGTCTGAGCGCGCGAAAACCTATCATTAATCTAAGGGTATCCTCCTCTATCCTTCTGTATCAAGGTGACAATCGCGATTTCCAAGTTAGTGTCAAGTTGTGTTATGTATGTTCATGCAAATACTTAATACCACGACTGTGAATTGAGTTTAAAACCTAAAATTTTATTGATTTGATACTCCCAGAATATGTTGATAATTTAACACTGATACTTTATAGGTATTTTGGAGTGCTCAACATTGGCGTGGACACTGGTATTCAGGCTTGTATCTCCAGATCTCAAGATAGATTGCCAGTGACACTACTGAAAGTACCGGCCATTAAAAGGGTAAAGGTTATATTAAACAATAACATTCATTTTATGATACTGTATTATAAAAAGACAGAAAATTTAAAATATATTTGTAAAGTAAGAAGCCTATAGATGTTCCATTGCTGGGCACAAACCTTCTCCCTTCGTCGTCGTCGTTATGCAAGCAAATGCGTTTACATATGTATTAGACAGAAAGCCAATACCGTGGAATAGTACTGTATCATAAGTTATAGTGGATATTGGAATTTATCAACAAATTTCATTAAAAAGCTAAAAAATTTGTAGTGATACCTCTCATTTCTGAGATGGTTTTTCTACAAAATAGAGATAAAAGTCAAATATTCTAGAAATAGTTTTTTTGTTTGTTATAAGTACCTTATATACTTTCATTTGCATTTAGTAAAAAGCTGTTATTTTGACATTACGAAGAGACACTTCAATTTTTTGTATAGATAACTCAAATTTTTCATTACATAGATGGGTGTCTTTGAAGATCCGTCTAATAATGAAACGATATCAGAAGTAGATGCAATTAATACGTTTGAACGTGCATTGCGATCCCATGAACCTGTAATACTTGCTCGAGTTCGCCCAACGCAATCTCATACTCTTTTAAACGAAATCGCAAATGTAGCAGGTAATATTCAGTATTTTTTATGTTTATTAGACAATCAAAACTACCATTTACAATTTTTATGTTGAAACTTTTTAGGGATTGAAGTACCTAATGATGTTGTGGAAACAGCTACTCTATCAGATTTAGCCTTTCAAGTTGATAGATCTAAAATGGTTTCTACCTACCTGAGTGATATTCATAACATTTCTATATCAGAAGAATTAATACCCAAATTAACAGTCAAAAAGTAAGTTTTATTTTAATAAAAATGTATTTGATCTTTAACATATTGTAAACGTTTATAAGTTCATTGTTTGTATGAAAATAATTACATGTTTTTACAGAATACGGGAAATAGATGAAGCGATAAATGATATAGAATTTAAGGAAACAAAAGGCTTAGAGACATTTTACTGCAATGTTGACCCCGACGAACTACTTGTGACTACTGAAATGGTGTTTTTGCCAACCCTAGCAAGTAGTTCTGCTATGGTGAGGAAATTAAAATAACTTCAACGGTTGTTTTTGTTTTGCTTAGAGAGCATAACTCTATTTATTATTTAATATTATTTATTTTTCTCATTTCAGCGTGACGACGAATTTGATGTTAGTCAGACTTACTTATGCATTATCCCTGGCTTGGAAGGACATCATGATCGTTTCCGTGTTTTGTGTGAACGCCTGAAAGTCCCTGCTATAGTATTGCAGCCGGGACTTGATCGCCCTGATGAAACTATATCTAATCTGGCTCAGCGATATGCCGAGGTAATTTCCAAAATTTCGCAAACTCAGGTGTCTTCTTGCGAACTAATAAAATTTTATAATTATGTCCTATTTTATAATTTTATAATTATAGTAATATTGTTTTTCTTCTAATTCTTCTTTAAAAGCCTTTTAAAGTCCAGAACTGGACATAGACCATTACAAAAATACACTAGTATGTACTACTCGGAACATTTGCCTTAAATCTCCAGCTAATACCCTCGTATAGTGTTTCCATTAATGCCTTCGTACATAGAATACAAAATTGGATCAATTTTCACTCACTTAGCACACTTTATCACATGCTTGCTTTTTTGAATCTGTCTTACAATAATTATTGATCGATAAATTTTCTGTTTACAGATACTATTAAAGAAGGCTCCACTGAAAGAAAACTTTTATCTCTTGGGTTACGAAAGCGGATCTTTAGTGGCATTAGAAATGGCTGCTATTTTAGAAGATCACGGTAATGAATATAACTTACGATCAATATATTTTGTTTCCTTCGAAAATGCGTGAGAATATCTCGTATAATGTAAAAGCGTCATTATTTATTCCTGTTTACTTTAGTTGTTTTTTTTTTTTTAATTCTTTTGATGTACTACATTAGTGTATGTATTATATATTTTTTCTCATTCCAGGTTTAACCGGGACCGTATTCTTGGTCGGGGAATCTCCAGAAGAAATCCAAAGCGCTATAAAAGAACGCCTTAAGGAGTATGACTCTGATGAAGCATTACAGCTAGCAGTCGCAAGGCATATGGTCAAGTTAATGATAGGTGGTAGTACAGATGAATTAGAAACCGCTATATGCGGTGCATCAACTTGGCAAGAAAAAGTTGAAGCATGTCTTCGCTCCATCTTAGGCCGAGTGTCACACTCTGTACAGTATGCACAAGAACTTATAGAATCTGCATATGGTAGAATTAAGCAAGTGCAGTGTTATAATTTGAATGTAAAAGAACTGCGATCTAAATTAGTATTAATACGAGCAGCATCATCCACAGACAATCCAGAAGCGCTTTCCTTGCAACGTCATTCACAGCAACCTATTAGTGTATATCAATTGCGAGCTCCTTTAGCCTATACTACTGCGGATTTGCGTTGCTCTGCTATCATTAACAGCCATCTTAATACCGAACTATTGGAGGCGTTTGAAAAGAAAAATCTCTGTGACACATACTTGCTTAACGCTGACGTATTTGTGACAATGGATGCTTCGTATTTTGATAAATAGTATGTGTTTTATTTTATTTAATCTTAATATTTGTGATGATGGTTTTAAATAAATTATTTGAAATAATATTTTTTGATTTAATAGATATCTCTCACGTTGAATAAAATGAAATTGTTTAAAGCAAGCTCGAATTTCAGCATATAGTCATACACGCATTACTCGTACCAGCTATATATTACGACTATTGTATTGACAAAAAATAATTTGATCCGTCGCCTAACGGAGGACTAACTAACGGAGCTTAGGTGGTAATGGACCGGCCATATAGCTCAAAGAACTTAGTTAAACAAATATTCATTTAAATTATTTACTTTGACTCATTTAAATCATATATCATACAATATATCATTCTGCAACGTTTTATTGCTTTTTCCTTTTTTATTTAAATATATCATACTGTACTCGTTATAAATTAAAATTCATTTTGAATTGTGCATGTAAGTACTTTTAAAGGCCGGCAACGCATCTGCAATTCCCCTGGTGTTGCGGTTGTTCATGGGCGGCGGTAGTCACTTACCATCAGGTGAGCCGCATGCTCGTTTGCCCCCTCTCCTATAAAAAAAAAAAAAAAAACTCCAGCTCCTTTGTTTTTTTTAAAACGATGGTTAAAACTATGGTTAAGACTAAGATGTTTGACGTTCCGATGTCACAGTTGGGCTACCGTCAGTTTATTAATATTAAATTTGCTTCGATTTACGCTGAATGAACTTACAGTATCTTGAAGTCTTGCAGTGGTATGCTTGGATTTGGATTTAATTTTGTTAATTATAGGATCCCAAGCAGATGACAGCACCCATCCATCTTCTCTATTGAAATTAGGATGTTTTTTAATTTCAATAGCCTCGCGTATCATCCTTGGTAGGAATCGGTGTTCTTTTGCGACGATTTGTAGTCTATCAAATCTGATGTATCGGGGACGATCTTGAACATCTGCAGTCTGTGAACATGTTCTAGATCATCCCTAAAAAACAACAGAATATAGGCGATAGATCAATTTAATCGCAATGTAAATCATAGTTTTGTCCTGCTAAGTATGCTTAGTAATTCATATAGAATGTAAGCCCTACATTCTTATTCGATACACTTTGTACAAGCACCGATGTATGTGGACCACCGACATAAATATAAATATTTTAGAATAAAACCTAAACAATATTTTTTTAGTTTTAGTTTTTTGAAGTTGATTTTTACTTTTTTTTAAGTTTTTTCTTTAAAATGAAACTACAAACACAAAAAATAATTCAAACTGTTGGAATCATTTCCAAGAAACCAATTATTATTATTATTATAGAAAAAGGGGTGACAAACAAGCACACCGTCGACCTAATGATAAGTGGACGTTGTGGCTCACAGACATCTACATAATTCCTGGATTAAGAATCAAATGAGTTGTCCCTGGAATGGAATGTCTCATTCCATTTTAGTTCTCAAAAGTAAAGGAGTGTACGATTCCTTACTTTTAAAATTCGAAACATAGCAGAATTAAGCTGATATTTCGTGCTGGAATTTTAATTGACCAATTACAAACTATAATCTTTATGTATCATAATATAGATTCAAAATTGAAAAATAAACCCTAAAACAAAAAGAGCTGATGATCTTTAAATGGCTGAAATTATTTTCTTGAATCATAGCTAAGAGCACTCTCAATCAAGTTACCTTTCAAAAAAAAATAATCAGTCAGACATACAGTTACACAATTTTTTTTATAAGATCGGGTGACAAACGAGCACACAGTCCACCTGATGGTAAGTGGTTACTGTGACCCATAGACATCTACATCTATCCTCAATAAAGACTCAAGGTGCAGATGCGTTGTCACCGGTGAGGACTAAGATGGAATGCCTCTTTGCCAATAAAAAGGGTCTCCGGTTCTCTACACTCACCACACGAAACATAGCAGCGTTAAGCTGCTATTTTACGCTGGTTTTACAATACAGATACAAACGTTAAGCGTATAACACCCGTCTTTTTCGTCGGGGCTTAAAAGTTACGTGTCACATAGTTTGTCCGCGATTAACTCCTAAATTAATGAACTGATTTCAATAAAATTTTGCACACTTTGTGCAGTTTGGTCCAACTTAAATATAAGGAGAGGGCAAAACAACGTCGTTGGCCAGTTAGTATTCATAAATAATATATAATATGAATTGCCTACTTTTAGTATTAAGAAAAAATTGTAACAATGCCTGGTAAATTACAGAATAATTTTGTATTATTGATATGAGACGATATGGTGTGTTAGGAAAGGGTTCTCCTTTTCCTATCAAACCATATCTTTATTATTATTTTCACCATATCTTTACTATTTGCAGTCACAACACGGATTTTCATTGCGTTATCAAAACTTTTCTATCAACCAATCACCTACGTAATAATTTCTTAATAACACTTGAACTATTTCATTTGCATGAATATTTGCTTCAATTTGGTTATTATCAACCATGTATTCATTTATACTATAATAACCCTCTTTATATAGTTTAAGCTTGGTAATAGAGAGAGCCTGTACACTTTCCGGGACCTTGTTGTAATAGCGTATACATTGCCCCAAGAATGAATTACTGACTTTGTGGAGTCGAGTAACTGGAATCACTAGCTTGTGTTTGTTCCTAGTGTTTACAGAATGTTTATCACTTTTTTTACTTAAACTACCTTTGTTTTTGTGAACATACATTAAATTTTCGTTTATATACTGAGAGGCCAAAGTTAATATATTTATTTCTTTAAATTTATCTTTAAGAGACTCTCTCGGTTTTAGGTTGTAAATAACTCTAATGACCCTCTTCTGTAAAACGAAAATAGTTTCTGAATCAGCCGCATTTCCCCATAGCGAAATCCCATAAGACATTATGCTATGGAAATAACTGAAATAAACTAATCTAGCTGTCTCGACACTAGTGAGACCTCTAATCTTTTTTACAGCATAGGCTGCAGAACTTAGTCTGCTTGCTAGTTTGGACATATGGGGGCCCCACTGAAGCTTTGCGTCGAGAGTGATGCCAGGAAAAACAGTGGATACAACAGGGCTCAGTTCCTCCCCATTTAAATACACATTGGCATTCAGATTTTTAAAATTCGTTGTTGTAAATTTAACACAATTAGTTTTATTTCCGTTCAAATGCAGATTATTAACGTTAAACCAATGCACTAATTTTGATATTTCTAGCATTATGTACTTCGTCACATTTTAATTGACTGACGTTTAAGTTTAAAAATCAAGGAAGTATCATCAGCAAATAATACTATATCATGACTATCCCCTAAAAGGTAAGGTGAGTCATTAATATACACCAGAAACAGGAATGGGCCGAAAATCGAGCCCTGAGGGACACCCATTAGTACAGGTGACCCGGAAGAACTTTTACCATTGATAATAACCTTCTGCTTTCTATTACTTAAATATGAAATAATAAGTTTAAGCGCTGTGTTCTTGACACCATAGTACTGTAGCTTCCTGATTAATATTTCATGGTGAACACAGTCGAAGGCCTTGGAAAATATACCCAAAGCATCCTCTGAATTCTCACATTCACAAAAAATATGTTTAATAAGCTCAACAAGAATTGATCACGATGCTGTACCTAATAACACATTTATTACGATGTTTTGAAAAATGATTACAGAAAAAATGTATTAAATATTTTTTAGTAACTTATATACCTACTTAATACTTATACAATCATCCCGTTGTCTCATTGTCTATATGTTACATGCGTTTTATAAAAAATTAGTTCACGCTGATAATTAAAACTCAGAAACGGCTTAGTTTTCTGGGATGAAACAGGAATTAAAAGAAAAGATTTTGAGTCAATTGAAGCTCAATTAGGCAACTTTTTTAAGTATATAATTCATAATATTTAGCATTCTTCAAGCAAAATTTTTTCATTTGTCCTATTACCACTCTGAAATTTTTATAATTTGAAGATAAAGTATCTGATTTATAAAGTGCCTGGCGGTAAAAAAAGTGCTTTTCTGCACATATCGTAAAATATTGTATTACTATAACTATTGTGATACTTAACTTTAAATTTTAATTTACTTTTTAGTATCTGTTGTTCGCCTTATAAAAGTCATTTAGTGCTTTGCGATAAATATTCATTTGGACAGCAATTCGTGAAGAGGCTAATACATCGTGGAGCCCGGAAATACACTTGCATTGTCCAAAATCCCACCCATACCTAGCCACAAGAATACGGTTCGTATACTCTTTTTAAAATAGAAACTTAATCTTTTACTTTCTCAAAATAATACTTATCGTTGTTATAATTAAATGGGTACCTACTCAAATCGTGGGCAATAGAGTTTAAAAATTAAATATTTCTTATTCTTTTAGGACTTGGAAAATCTTGGAGCCACTATAAAACTATCAGCTGATATTTTCTACAGAGAAGAAAATATTAGTGATTTACAAGCGCTAGTACCAACAATACAGATACTGAATTGTTCAACTTTATAGCTGGCGGGTTCGACATAATAATAAGGAAACTATGTCATAACTAGCAGAAAAACTGCTGCCATACCTGGCATAAGCAGAAGAACACAAAAAATCTCCGATCACATTCTTAATCTCATGACTGTTAGACGGAATATAAAGCTGCAGTCTTCAGTAGATTTGACAGCATACAGGCACCTTAACAGACAGATCTCCAAATGCATGCGGCAGGACTTACGCAACTTCAATATAACTTGTATTGAAGGAGCGATCGAGCGGAACCAAGGCTCCAAAGTCTTTGCCACAGATCTGTCTGCCAGAAAGAGTCAACTGTCAAAGTTGAAGACCGAGTGTGGCAGCATCGTTTCCGGGACACCTGAGTTTTTGAGTGAGATTGAGAAGTTCTATGGGCAGCTGTATACGTCATCGTTGGAACCACACGCTAGTAAGAGTAACGATCCAAGAGCGAGTCTTATTTGACACTATTCCGAAGATATCTTGGATGTCAGTCTGAGCGAGATTAGGATGGCTCTCCAGCACCTTAAAAACAGCAGGACCCCAGGTG